ATCCTAGAATTTGTAGTGTCATCAGTTTTAATATTTATTAGTTGTATTCAATTCTAAGATGTGGAGTGTCTTCTTTACAGTTAATGTGAAACATAAAACAGAGGGGTTATAGATTATTTATCTGTAATTTGATAACTCATTTATTTTAAAGTATATAATTGTCCTAATTGAATTGTTTTAGGGTAAAAATGAAAAACAAAAGTTTTTCAAGTTTGTTCACATTTTATAGTAGTACAAATATAAATAAATATACACACACACACATATATAGATATATGAACTCATATGGACCCATCGAAGTAGATTATTTATTTTTGGTTTAAATGTTACTATTTTTTATTTTGTTTAAATATTTTTTGTTTATTATTGAATGTTATTGTTTTCGATTTTAAATATTACTATTTTTGTCGGACAGTTACTATTCATGTTATCATTTTTGTTGAGCATGTTACTACTGTTATTTTTCTAAATATTGTTAATAATAAACAAATTTGTATTCACTCCCAAAATCAAATTACGAAGATAGAGGAAAGAGAAATGAATTTACGCACTGATTGTAGTGGGACGAGTGATGGAAGTAGTGGTGGGAGACGTTGATGGTTGTGGTGGATGACAGTGACCATTAATGATAGTGGCAGTCGTGGGTGGAAACGGTGGTGGTGGGGGTAATAGGGGTGGTGGTGGTAGGGGTGATGGTGGGACAGTGACAGTGGTGATAAGGTGGTGGCAGCAGTGGTGATGGTGAGGATGATGGTAGCCAACAATGGTGTTAATGGGTGCTGACAATGGGCGACGGTGGTAATTGGATGATGACAGTAGTGGTAATAAATATAAGAATAAGATGATGATGATGGTGAGTGGTGATGCTGGACGATGGTGGTAGCAATCGGTGGTAATTGGCAATGGTGATGGTGGTGGCAGTGGCGATGGCAATGGCAGTGGGGGCAGTAGTGGTGGTGGTGGGGTAGTCGTCGCGGTGGTAGAGTGGTGGCGTTGACGGTGATCGTGATGGTGGTAGTGGTGATGGTCGTGGGGGTGGTGGTGGGACAATGACGATAGTGGTAGGGTGGCAACAACAGTGGTGGTGATAGTGATGGTGATGGTGATGGTGGGGGTGTGGATGATGGTGAGGGGTGGTGGTGGTGGTGGTAGGAGTGGCGACAGTGATGGTGGCGACGATAGTGGTGGTTGTTATAGCAGAGGTGGTGGCAGCGATGGTAGTGGTAGTGGTGATGGTGGTAGTGGTGGGGGAAATGGTGGTGGTGATAGGGCGATTTCAAACTCTGTTTTTTTTTTAAACGTATTTATGAGAAGTTATAAATTTTAGAAGTATTTTTAAAAAATTTACCCCAAACATACCTTTAAAGACCTATTTTTTCAATTAAATTTGGTGTTAATATTATCCGTCAAATTAACTTTAAAATAAAATTTTAAAACAATTTTAATCACGAAAACAAAAGTCATTTTATTTATCTTTTGAGATTTGAATTGTATTAGATTTTATTATTAGTTATTTCCAGTGCTTGAAGGCACAGAGTAGTAAAAAAATAGTCAACAATAAACATATTTGTATTCACACCTAAAATCAAATTATAAAGATAGAGAATAAATAAATGAATTTAAGCACTGATTATAGTGGGCGCACAAGCAGTGGTAATGATGGTGGGCAACAGTGGTGGTGGTGGGAGACGTGTGATAGTTGTGATGGATGATGACAACCGGTTGTAATGGTGACAGCTATAAGTGACAATGATGTTGATGGTTAGGGGTAGTGAGGGTGCTAGTGGGATAGTGGCGGTTGTGGTAAGGTGGCAACAATAGTGGTGGTGGTGGGGCACTAATGGGGGGTGGTGGGGTTACGATAGTGGATGTGGTGGAGCGGTGGTGGTGGTTGTTGTGGAAGAGGTGATAGTGGGGTGACAGTGACGATAGTAGTGAGGTGATGGGTGTGGTAGGATGACGACAATGGTGATAGTGGTGGTGGTGGTGGTTATAGTGATGATTGTGGTGGGGCGGTGGGCTGGTGGTGGTAGAGGTATTGGTGGGGCGGTTTCGAAACATTATTTTTTAAAAAAAATATTTATAAAAAATTTTAAGTATTAAAAACACTTTTAAAAGGTCATCTCAATCACACCCTTAAGGTTCTATTTTCTATATTATATTTGGAGTGTTAATATTAGTCATCAGATTAATTTTAAAACAAAATTAAAAGAGATTTCAACCGTAAATAATAAAAATTATTTTATTTATCTTTTAATATTTGAATTATATTATACTTTATTATATATATATATATATAAGTGACAGAGAAAAGTGTAAATAGAGATTTTTATCTATTCACATCGATGTTAATTGATTTTGCGAGTGCGATTGCGATAGGATAAATGATCCAATGAAATTGATGTGTCAAGGTCAATTCAATGTCTAGGCGAGTGAGGCATTCATCTTGGTCCCCCACGTGTCTAGTATCCCGCTCGTTTAGACCCCACATAGTTGTATAGCTAAATTTACCTATAAAATAATATGGTGATAAAAAAATAAATTCATTTTTTTGAAGAAGCGAATCCGGGTATCAATTGTGCTATTGCTATGCCATTGCATCTTATAATACAATATTTTTCTCACAATACCATGCCTAGATGTCTCATATGTCTTACCTTTACCATCTATTCTCTCTCTCTTTAATAATTGTTCTCCTAATTTTATATATTATTTAACTTCTTTTTTTCTCTCCAATTCTCCTAATGGATAAATTAATTTTATATGCAAGTTGATATAATATCAAAAAAACAATTGATTGAGTGACCTTGTTATACTCTTATGCTTTTTATCTAAGTTCTAATGACTCTGGTTTATTCATGCAACTTTGTTTTCTTGATCTATACATTAAAGTCATTGCAATTGTATTGTAACAATTCAAATAAGGTGTTTGTTCTACAAGTATTTTTTTACCTTAGTTCTTGTTTCTGCACTTCCATCTTTTCAATTCCCTATAAGTTTCTTTGTTTCTTTGCAAGTGGGTGTATTTTTTTGCATATATATGGATGTTAGATGAAATGAGAAGAAAGATTATGTGGTATAAATACAAATATACGAATATTATGTGATATATAAAAATATACGAACATATGGATGTTAGATGAAATGAGAAGAAAGATTATGTGGTATAAATATAAATATACGAACATGTGTACATTTTTATGCATGTAATTTAGAGAGAAATTAGATTGCTCTCAAAAGGACGTATTGATGGGTTGGTGAGTATTTTTTAGAGAGAGAGGTGGTGGTATGGTTAATGGTTTGATGGGTAAGTGGCGTAGTGGTGGTGTATAGTACTTTGATTTTTTATTTTGGTGTATAGTACTTTGATTTTTATTTTTTTTGGTCAGAAAAATTCATTAATTACATAACGCCTAGCCTATGCCAACTTTTGCTTTCTTACCTATGATTTCCAAAATCTTTAACCGGTAGTCAAAAAACCTTCTCCTAGCCCGAGTAGCAACCGTATGGGTTTGTGGTTTTGTTAGAAATTGTGGTTCAATTGAATGTACATGTGTGTTGTAATAGAAAAGGGATTGGGTTTAATAAATTTGTGGGGGTGGAAGGGTCTATTTGACATTATCAAAGTTTAAAGGGTTTGGATGTAATTTATCCAAAATAAATAATAAAAAATGATTAATTACACTAGATGTCCACAAAATATGAGATGTGTCTCATTTTGGTCTCTGATATTTTAATTATATCATTTTAATTCTTAAAGTATTGAATATATTTTTATGTGGCATTTTAAACAGATAATATCTAGATTGTTAACGATTTTTTTTATTATAAACTTGTCATGTGATACCTAAAGATGAGCAAAAACAAAAAAAAAATAAAACTCTTAGACTAAATTTTTACCCAAATTCTGGTCAAATAGTTATCCAAATTACACATTTTTTGTCTTAAATTATCTAAATCTTGGTCAATAGCCATCTATATTATACATTTTTTGTACAGAGTTACCCAAAATTTTGCTTAAGTGCTACCCAAATAATTTTTTGTCTATCTATATAATAAAGTACAATACAATTCAAATGTCAAAAGATAAATAACTTGACTTTTGTTTTTCACGGTTAAGATCTTTTTAAATTTTACTTTATAGTTAATACGATGATTAATATTAACACCTCAAATTTAATATGAAAAATATAACCCTAAGAGTGTGTTTGAGATAATTTTTTTAAAGTGTTTATAGAACTTATAATTTCTCATAATTATTTTAAAAAAAAAGTATTTGGAACTGACTCACCACCACCACTACCACCCCCCACCACCATCACTATTATCACCCACCACCGCCACCACATCCATCGCCTCACCCATCACCCCACCACAATCACCATTGTTGCCATCACTCTACCAATATCTCTACCGCCCCACTACCATTGTCATTCTACCCCCCACCATATTTTCTATAATAACTACCACTCCACCACCATTGTTGTCATCCCCCACCGCTATTGTTATTTTACCACCGTCGCCATTGCTCCACAACCATTATTATCGCAAATGCCACTATCACAACTAGTCGTCGTCACTCATTACAACTATCACCATCACTCACCACTACTACCATCGGTCGCCTCCACTAAAATCTGTGCTTAAATTTATTTATCTTTGTAATTTAATTTTGGATGTAAATACAAATATGTTTATTATTTCATTTTTTTTTAATTACATGTCTTCAGGCACGTGAAATAACTAGTATTTAGATATCACACGATAAGTTTATGATATAAAATCGTTAACAATTTGGATGTTGTCTACTCGAGGGATCACAAATAATAGACTAAAATAATATAATTAAAATATTAAAAATCAAAATAAAACAAAATTGATCTTTTAGGAACTTTTAGGCAATTAACCTCCAAAAAAAAAAAAAAAAAAACGAACGTTGACGTATAAAGATGATAAGAAGGGTGCAATTTAACATAAGACGACGCCGGATTGCTCAGTCCGGTCAAGTAATTCTTGAAGAGTCAGTTAGAGTCGGTGGTTTGTTCCATCGGAAGGTCAAATTTTTTTTCTCGGAAGGTAATTCCCTCTTGAATCCCAGTCCTCTTTGATCGAGTTCGTTTGTGCCAGTCCTCTTTGACCGAGTTCGTTTGTGCTACCATTGATACGGAATTGAAATCCCTCGCCATCAAATTTGTGAAATATTCCCAACATCATCGAAACTAGGGAGAGAGATATACCAGAAAGAAAATTGAAAGCCTGAGAGACAATGGAGGTAGACGATGTTCCGTTGGACGACAAGGCCAAGAGAATGAGAGATCTGTTGTCGAGCTTCTACTCTCAAGATCCTTCTTCAACTCCAATTCCAGCCAACACTTCTTCCAGATTCGCCACATTGGACACCATCAACACCACCTCCTTCGATGCCGATCAGTACATGAATCTTCTCGTAACCCCTCTCTACCCTCCTTCAATCTTTCAATTATTTCTCTCTCTTCAGTTTTCAGATCCATCAATACGTAGATGTATACATGTCATAGGTATGTTCATACCATATATACTAGTACAAGTCAATTTGAACTCGAAAAGATTACACTTATTTCCTTTTGTTTGATCTTTTGTTTTGGTTTTTGTTGATCTTTCTGTATTGTCAGTACTGAACTGGAGGTTTTGTGTCTAATGATGGAGTTGTTAATTGAGAACCACGAGTTCTTTGATTGAATTGATACTTAGAGGCACACGTTATATGCATGTCTTTTTTCCGAAAGTATGTTTTATGTATGTCCTAGCGCATGCACATGCACATCAGCACATGTCCATTCGAACCAGAAATGTATACTCTTATTTTCTTTCGTTGGATCTGTTGTTAGGATTGGTCTTGTGTCTAATGATGGACTTGTTAGTAGAACACGAAGTGTTCTTTGACTAAATTGATACTAAAGATATTGTTTCTTCTCATTATTTTTCTTTAGGTAGTCGAAGTATATTTGCAGTATAATCTTAGTTACTCTTTGACCAAATGAACCCTAATTAGGTAGCTGCCTAGGCTTGGCTGTTTGAAAAAAACAAAGTCTAAGCAAGAGCAAGATGGAGTCGAGGGATTTTAGTTTCTCAAATATTTCAGAATGCACATATTCACGAGTACTTGCAGAAACACGGATAGGAGACAAATAGAAGGAAGAATTAGCTACTGCACTGCAGATAGTGAACTTTGTTGTAGTTAATGGAATAAGAGGGTTCAAATTGAGTAATCCTCATCTTAATGGTTTGTGGTTTCTAATTCAGAAATTGTGGTCCATGTTTTTCATGGTTTTCACTTTATGCTGCTTCTAATGTTTTGGATTCTCAATATAACAAGCTCGAACTAATGTAAAATTAAAAAAAATACAAACCTTAGTTTTTTTTTTAAGTTTTTAAACTTTGTTTTATGATGTTGTATAGGAGGTAATTGTCCTTGATGCTTACACAAGATCTTTTATTGCAGTGTGAATTATAATCATTCATGTAATACGTTTTACCAAATTTGCAGGTTCAAAAGTCAAATTTGGAGGGGCTGCTTCACAGACATGTTGAAATGGCTGCTGAGATAAAAAATCTTGACACAGACTTGCAAATGTTAGTATATGAAAATTACAACAAGTTTATTAGTGCCACAGAAACAATTAAAAGGTAAATTTCCCCTCTTCCATATTTGATTAATTTTCATGGCAAACTTTATCAGTTTTTGGTGGCAGTTTGTCAGGAATTATATTGCAGCAGAATTTGACTAGCTCATGAAAATGTTTGGAATAGTGTTCCACAAGTACACAACTTTTAATGTTGCATCCCAACAGTAACAAAAGTAAATTAGTTGTATTAGCTATGCCTTACATTAGAATGTTCATATTGTTAAATCCTTGTCCTATCTTAATATTTGTACAATAATTTATATTGGCTATGTTTTTAAACCTTTGGATGGTGAACTCATTTGGTATTATTATTATTTTTTTCTCCAGGATGAAGAATAACATTGTAGGCATGGAAACAAATATGGAACAGCTTCTTGAAAAGGTGTTTGGAAATCGTCTAGTTATCTGGTCATTAAGTCTGTGTTGTCAAATTTAATAATTCAAGAAAAGCTACAAGGAAAATATGGGTGTTTTAAGGAGTAACATTTCTTCATCATCATTGCAGATAATGTCTGTTCAATCTAGAAGTGACGGAGTCAACACGTCTCTTTTCGAAAAGAGAGAACATATAGAGAAATTACATCGCACACGCAATCTTCTGCGTAAAGTTCAGGTAGTAAAGTGAGGTATTAAAGCTTTAGCATGTGCTCCTCTGATTTGTTGCTAATTTCTGTATTATAACATGTTACCCTGCTATCCATGGGTTCTCTAGACGTCTAGAACCTATATTTCCATTTAAGCAAAGGCTTGTACTTTTTGGAACGAGAAGATCATGAACATCTTATCATTAATTCACTTGTGTCTAGCCAGTGTTCTGTTAATGGTGAATTTGAACCCTGTCTTACTTATCTAAGGCTGATGGGATGCCACTTGTCAGTTGAAAGTAGCAGTTACAGCTATGCATTACTTTTTCAAAATTATTAATGCGTTTTATCATTTTCCTAGTTTTATGGCCTTATGATTTAACTTCATTATGGTTTTTTTTTCTAACATGATGAATAAAATATTTTTTTGTCCCCTATACATTATGTAAATTTTGATTTTTGGCAATGCATGAATTACAAAGTGTTCATCTTTTGTGGAAAAGAACAGTTCATATATGATCTACCTTCTAGACTTGAGAAGTGTATCAAATCAGAGGCCTATGCTGATGCTGTCAGGTTTTACACTGGAGCCATGCCGATTTTTAAGGTTAATTTCTTCTTACCTGCTATGTCAAGCTTGGGTCCTTCCATCTGCTGATTTAGATCAGCATTTGATTTTCACTTCAATACTGAGAGGCCTCCCCCAATTGCCTTCTTTTCCAGGCATATGGGGACTCATCATTCCAGGATTGTAAGAGAGCATCTGAAGAAGCAGTGACTATAATAATGAAAAACTTGCAGGTAGATTATTTTTGCTTTTATAACTCATTTGTGGTGTTGTGAATTAGATAAATCACATTACTATTTGATTACATGAAGAACTGTATAGGATAGTTTGATCTTGTGGAAAGCAGATCAATGTGCAGTCCTTATAAAATGTATCAGTGAGTCATCAGATGAAGCTAATCTGGTTAGAAAGTGCAAGATCTTTGAGCCACAATGAACACTGGTAGAGGTGTTGAATACATGATGGATTTTGATTTAGCCAAGTACATGGTTCTAGTGGAATTGAATGGAGAAAGATGATTTGTACAGTTGACTTGTGTAGTTGACATTCAACTCCACGGTCTTTTATGTTGCCCTTGGTAGAGCTGCAGCAAGTCTCCCAGATACTCGGGGGAGGGCTTAACCAGCCTGACCCATGAACCATGTGCGCTGCTGTGTATGGTTGAAATGATAGATGTTGCGCCTTACTCACAACCAGATGGTTGGGTGTAGTGGTCAGCACATCGATCCAACAATTGGTATCAGAGCAAGGTCATGGGTTCAAGTCCGAGTAGTTGCTGGAGGGGAGATTGTTCGCCTGGTTACAGGTGCAGCAAGTCTCCCTGACACTCGGGGGGAGGGCTTAACCAGCCTGACTTGTGTGCGCTGCTGTGTATGGTTGAAAAAGATAGATGTTGCACCTTACTTACAACCAGCTAGTTTTGGTGTAGTGGTCAACACATCAATCCAACATTTTATAGTTTGTGGCGTCTTTGCTTAATGCTTTTTACGTTTGATTGGACAATAGATGATAGATTTGTCAACAATCTGTGGATGAATCTCTATTGCCATGTGAGCACCACCATGGCCTAACCCAGCTTCTTTTGAATGAATTTATGAAATAGCTATGAAACATGCGGAATGAGACAAACCTCATTCTTCACTAAGTAACTTCCTGACTTTATGGTGCTTTATTCGTATGCCCCCAATAATAAATAAGGACGGATGTTCTCTTATTTGTGTATCTTTTTCTTTCAGGGGAAGGTATTCTCAGATTCCGAGTCCATACAGGCAAGAGCTGAGGCTGTAATGCTTCTTAAGCAGTTGGATTTCCCGGTTTGTGTAGCACTATATCCTCTTTCTCATCTGCAATCTTTTGTGATTTTTATGCAACATGTTTATCCTTTAGGTCGAGTATTCATCTTGTAACTGTAAGCACTACTTGAGGAGGGTGCTGCTTAGTTTTTAAGTTGCAAAGATTCCATATGGTACATGTGCAAGTGTTAGATAAACTTAGATTTATCCAACTATCAAACCCAAGGGCATGGGGAAAGCCAAATACTTGATATATTTACTCCTTTTTCATTTCCATGGATACAATGGAGTTTTTGTTCACTGTTGAGTGTCTACCATGGCTGCCTGTATCATTTTGATGAAGCCATGTATGAAAAAGGCACACACCAGGAAAATCTAGAGTAAAATTATTTGAACATTTGGCGTTGCTGGGTGCATGTCAGATTTCAGACTCATATCAGATACCCATGCCAGTCTCCTCAACAAGTAGAGTAGTCAAAGCTGAATAAATTGTATTAAAATGTGAAGTACCTATTGTTTATACAGCCTAAAGGTTTCTACTGAGTTGTGGTCGTTGTGGGAGAAGCATAGTATTCTATTAATTTAAGTTGATTTGTTCTTGATGCAAGTCTAGGGTGGAACTTTTCTTGTTTTGTCATGCATTTTCTTTGCATATTGATGTGCATGTGACGGTTGGACCATATTTTGACAGGTTGAAAATTTGAAGTCAAAACTGCTTGAAAAATTAGAGCAGTTCCTTGTGGACCTTCATCTCGAATCCAGAGAAATAACCAACTGTTCAGCGGATCCTCATGAACCTTCTAAACAAGGAAATGTTATTGATTCTACTCCTGTTACTGATCATGAGGTATGCAAAAACAAGACAGCATCCCTTTGCAATTTGGTTGGACATACCACACTTATTCCATCCTTCAATTTGTGTAACTTAGGCTTCTACTCGTGAATTTGCGGAAGCTGTCCGTGCTTACCGAGTAATATTCCCCGATTCGGAACCACAACTAATTAAACTCGCGCAAGACCTTGTTACAAAGTATGTGGCTGTAGTTTCCAGTTTTTTTGTATCTTCAGTATATTCTGTTCCGTTTTCTTGCTTGTTCTGACCGAAAGCGTGATCATTTAATCTTAAAGTGTGATTTTATTTTTTGGGTTTTTTTTGTTTGTCTAGGCACTTTGAAGCCACTCAACAGCAAATCAAGAAACAAATTCGTTCAGCAGATCTATTGGGAATGCTTCGTAAGATTACACATCTGCTAATACACATCATTTGGACTTTTCCCTTATACTTGCTTCCATGAATCTTGATGGTGCATGACGTAGATGTGCGCTTCTACCTGAGGCATTTGTGTTATTTTTATTGATAGTAAAAGTAGAATTGTCTGCAAATCAAAGCTATGAATGTGTCACTGAGAAGTGTTCAGAAGAAAGTTAAAGGCACCACATGCTCAGGAGGAAAGCTAAAAAAAACATAGGGTGAGGTGTGGAGAAAGACACGATTGCCTTTTAAATGAAGGATATGATGCTAGTGGTTTAGATCTAAGCTTAAGTTGTGGTCTAGTTAAAATGATCACTTGGCATCACCTAGATACTTCAGCAGGCTCTTGAAAAGCCAGTTAGTCTCCCATGTAATTAACAAATCTAGGCAGAGTTTACCTGGTTCTTTGTTACTTTTGGTCATCTAGGCAACTGCATTAGCAGTTAGATGGCTGTAGAAAAAATTGAAGCAGAATAGCATCAGGATTGCTTTGCTTTTCAGCTAAGGAGTCACATTATCCTAATCGAACCTGGGAGTGAAGGACTCTAAGATGTTAGCTAATCCACACGCATCTTCGCCTACTGAATTGTTGCTCTATAGGTTTTCTTTCTGCGAGTGTGGTCTAGGACTTTTTTGTTTTCTAATTCTCATGTGTCCCTTTTCCTAGGCTTCGGTGAATCTACTGAGCGCTTCCACAATCCAGACTAGTATTCTAGTATTCTAAAAGTGAGCAGTGATAAAATCATGGCCGTGGGTGCATTGGCTAAGTAAGTTGCCTCATTGTCAACCAAGGTTGTTAAACAAAAATCTCATATTTCCTATAACTTTTGCCACATTTTTAGTTGCTACTTAGGTGTATTTATTCCGAACATGAATGAAAAATAACAAGATAACAACAGACTCTCTAATTAGTATGTAATAACTTGATAGTTTTAATATTATTAACTTTTTGAGGATTAAACTTCATTTTGTGGTGGATAATTAAAGACTTATTTATTATTAATAGGATTTTGAAAAAAAATCCTTTTGTCGTTTTATCAGTTATTAGATAGAACATTTGTTTCACATGCAATTTTTTTTATTTGTTTTGAATCTTCTAACATTGTTAATTCAAGTGTAAAGCGATATTGTTGGAGTTTTCACATGGGAATATGGCTCAATGACAAGTTTGCTGTTAGAATACCTTTGTTCTGTGGACATTTTATCTAAGAGGGGCTTCAGCACGTGGCACCTTTCTAAGCTATTAATGGCTTGATTCATGAACCGGACAGAAAGATATGATTGGGTTTGTCAGTATTATATGTGACCTGTAAAAACAACAAAATCATGGTAGTCTCCTGTGTTACTATGGTGTAGGAGCACTCTTGTATGGGAAATAATGTGGATACTTGTCGTGGTTTACCAAAGTTTCATATATTAATTAGAGATAAATTTGTTTTGTGACCAGCTTTTTGAATTTAGTTCATTTAAAGCTTTACTTAAAATCTAGGAAGCACAGATACTCTGGCGGGGGTCAACGTAGCGTTGTTGGACACGTGTTTGACACGAATACACGTGGAACATGGCCAGACACGTGTTCGATACTTCTACAAGTCTCTTGAAAAGAAAATAAAAAAAATCAAATAAAAAATCAAATACGAGAGGGATACAAGAGATACGGGAAGGATACATTACCTCGCTTCTTCCATCTCTTCTTCAACTATGGATCTGAAAGTCACTGATCTAAACTTGGCTAGATATGCTGAAGAACTCGTCCTCTTCTTCTTCTTCTTCTTCTTCTTCTTCTTCGTCTGACCTGGATCTATGCGATTTGGATCTGTTCGCGCTCTGTCTCGAAGCGATTTGAGATCTCTCTCTCGCTGCGATCTAGATCAGGTAGATTAGTGATTTCTCTCTATCTCTTTTAGTAGGCGTCGACTTTGCTTTTCTTTCTTTTTTTTTTATTAGTCACGCCTCTCTCTTTCTTTGTCTCTCTCAAAGTTTCCTCGTTTTGATGGTGTGGTGTCCACTGAATAATTGGACTCTTATATTTAATGTTAAATTACAATGACATCTTATTAGTTTAGCTCATTGCCCATAACATTTAGCCCACTATCCATAACATTTAGCCCGCTAATTAAATTTAAGAAAATTTCAATTTACCCCCTGAAAGATACAGAAATTCTCAGTTTGCCCCTCGAATGATTAATTTTTTTACATTGCCTCTCAAAGAAATAAAAATATTACAATGTGGTTCACCGTCTTATTTTCGTTTGATCGTTCGTCAGTTTTGTTCCAAATCAATCAATTAAGAATCACAAAACAGACATACGACCAAACAAAAATACGACGATGAGCCATTTTTTCAATGTTTTTATTTCTTTAAGGGGTAATGTGAAAAAATTAATCATTATGGGGCAAATTGAGAATTTTTGTATTTTTCATGGGCCAAAATGGGATTTACCCTTAAATTTAATATTAACTTATTTGCCCAATTATAAAATATTAATTGATTACTCAATTTTATTATTAATGTTGTTATATATATAAATAATTAAATAAATATTATATTATTTTAATTACCCATGTCCTATATTTTGGAATTTTGTCATATCCCCGTATCTATATTGTATCGGATACGACATCCGTGTCCGTATCCGTGCTTCCTAGCTTATAATGTTTTGATTTCATATGAAAATTTTGTTGAAGCTTTTTTACCTTCATATATTCCAATATGAATGTATTTATCAATCATCCATCTCTGCAGGGATTATATGGACTGATGTTCTTCTGATGGATGAAATGTTACCTGAGGCTGCTCTCTCTGATTTTTCTTTTCAGGTCTTTGTTTTCAATTCTTCTAATTTTGTTGTTGATGATTATATTTCTGCATCCATCTCTCCCCTCCATCTGGTTTAAGATATGATTTAATGATTTTCACATTAGGATGAAGGCTGGTATACTGATTAACCTCCATATGGTTCCAGGCTGCCTGTGTTGCCGTCAAACAGTATATTGTCAGCACATTTTCTCGTCTCCTACTTGATATCTCAGGTTTATCTTTACTGTTTCGTCTCATAAAGAGAGGAGAAATTGATTTATTAAGACCGAAGTTATCTTAGGTTTATCTGTTTCAGCTCATATATAAGAAGTAAAGAAATTGAGTTATTAGGATCAAAATTTGCATCTTTTGAGAATTGAGACAAACTACAGTTTCTAGGTGATGAAAAATTTAAAAGATATACGATGGCATAGACTCCTAGAAACTGATCTGAACCATGTTCAGTGAGTAGATGTAATAGACTAATAGGAACACGATATCCATAAAATGGTTCATTTTAGTTGTTAATAATTGACAGTTGAATCGGATTCGTTCATTCTAAGGCTTGAACTAATATCATTAAAACTTTCAGATGCACTTACAAAAGTCCAGCGTAGACAAAAGGAGGGAGTAGAAGAAGAATATTCCTTACAGGCTGCCCTGGAGGCCAGCAAAAGAGCAGTAATTCAAGGCAGTATGGATGTTTTACTGGTAAAGATACAAGTGCTATGAAAACTATATGCCTTTTTTTTGGATAAATGAAAACCATGTCTTACGAATCACTGATACTTTCACCATAAATACTTGTTTACTTTTAGTTGGCACTGATATGTGTTGATTCTTTGAATTCTCAAAGTACTATAATGGTATTTAGCGCATGATTACTTAATTAGAAAATATTATTAACTCTTAATTTAACGTTTTAAATTTTGATAGTGCTACCCTAAATGCAGTGCATATATGTTCCAAGCTTTGATCTGGTGATCCAGAGGAATCTCGTGTTGTTCGTTTTTTCTCCCTTTAGCAATATGTTCTTCGTGATTACATTTCATTGAATGAACTTTAGAAGTTCAGAAATGCTTGACTTTAGAGTAGTGCCCACCAATCCTGTTTTTTTTTTTTTTTTAACAAACAATCCTGTTTTGTTGATTGAAAATAAATCGTGTTGCAATTAAGATTAGAGTACCACATTCTTGCTAAATGAGCCTACCTCGAGCATGCCATCTGTTGTGCACCCCTCCCAAGAAATAATGAAAAAGAAAGGAGAATTTGTTGTGCTAGTGAAAGAAGTCAGTGGTTACTGTTCAGTTCTAGCTGTTTCAAATAAATGTAACACTGATTTTTTTCAATGTGGTGATTAGCTCACCTTTGTATTTCAACATTTTCATGTTGCTTTATTTGGTACACAATCTTTGAACCTTCTCCATTTTTCAAATAGAACAGGTATGCCATTACAATTTAAGTTCTGTGTATTCATGCTGCTTCATCTTTTCCTCAATTTGCTATTTTATTTTATATCACAGGACTTTCGCCAGCTTCTGGATGAAAACTTGGGGTTCCTAATGAAGCTGAGAGACTTGATCATTGACTGGGTACAAGAAGGATTTCAAGACTTCTTCAGAAAACTTGATGATCAGTTCCTCTTGCTGTCAGGGAAGAATATTTCAGCCACTCAAGATCAAGGTTCAACAGAAGGAATGCAGGGGGACAAGGTCCTTGCTGGGCTTGTTCTTGTACTTGCTCAGCTTTCTGTTTTCATCGAACAAAGCGCCATCCCTAGAATTACTGAGGCAAGCAGCATATCATAGTTCAGTATTCAAGCTTTATTTACTCTATAGCCTCCTGGGCTAACTTTGAACATTTACCTTCAATTTTTCAGGAAATAGCTACTTCTTTTTCTGGTGGCGGTGTTCGAGGCTATGAATATGGGCCTGCTTTTGTTCCTTCAGAAATTTGTCGATCCTTTCGATCAGCTGCTGAAAAGTTTTTGCAGCTTGTAAGAGTGCTAGATTCTGATTTTTTTTCTAAAGTTTTTAGCTTACAATTTGCATCTAGGTGGCTGGCAGATACTGTAGCTGTGGAACCAGCTGCCAGCTGTAGTACTATCAATATGTTTGTGTTGGTGGCTTCAAAACCATTTCCTGCTTACAATACAAAATGCCCAGACTTGTGGGCAAGCCTTCTTTGTTTTGAGCCAAAGTGTCCATTCTCATCTCATTCCTATATAGCAAGCTGAAACCCATCTTAAATTAAATGGTTCGGACTAAACAGATTCAATGGTCACAATATACTTTCAAATAATCTATTCATTTTTTTATGTTGACAAAACCTGGTTATAATAATTAGAACCTGTTTATTATTTTTTTTTTGGACTGATAACCAGTTTTTTTTTTTTGTCAGAACCTGTTTGTCAGTTCAAAACCTTATTTCAATCTTATTTTCTCTTTCAGTATATCAATCTGAGAACTCAAAAGATATCAGTTCTTTTGAGAAAGAGGTTTACAACACCGAATTGGGCAAAGGTCAGTACAGTTGGGACAATGTTCTGACTTTGACAGACAATTGCTTGGTTGGGACTCAAGTTCTTACATCGTTTATGCTGATTGGCTTAACTCTTTTTTTTCCTCCCCTTCTTTTGTCCAACAGCACAAGGAACCCAGAGAAGTTCATATGTTTGTTGATTTATTTCTTCAAGAGGTAAGTACTTCAATTTTTCCTCTAATTTTTTTTTACAAATGTTTAATTTGCGAATCAAAAGTAGGGTGTTGGAGATAATTTAAATCTGTTGTCAGGTTTTTCAAGTCAATATTTTCTAGCACCTATTAAAATATTGAGTTGTAAAGTGAGAACATGTCCATACCAATATAAATGGACTTGGAATCAAACATGGTAATGACACTTGACTTTTGTACTAGTTGGAAGCAACAGCAACTGAAGTAAAGCAGATTTTACCTCAAGGGCTCCATCGTAAACATCGTCGAACAGACAGCAATGGAAGCACCACTTCTTCACGCAGCAATCCACTGAGAGATGATAAAATGGGCCGGTCAAATACACATAGGGCTAGGAGCCAGCTTCTGGAGACCCATCTAGCCAAATTGTTTAAGCAAAAAATGGAAATTTTCACAAAAATTGAACATACACAGGTTAGAGTTTTTTTATTCTAGAGAAGCAAGTGTTATTGGTCTTGAACAACATTAGCTGAGATTGCTTGTACTTCGCAGGAATCAGTTGCAACTACTATTGTTAAACTCTGCTTGAAAAGTTTGCAAGAGTTTGTTCGCCTTCAGACATATAACAGGAGTGGATTCCAGCAAATTCAGTTGGACATTCAGTTCCTGAGGACTGCCTTAAAGGAAAGTGCCGAAGATGAAGCTGCGGTTGATTTCCTGCTTGATGAGGTAACAAGATAAAGATTGTTGTAGAGTTTTTACAGTTCTACTCACGAATTTTACACCTGGGTATCATTTGCTTATGAGCGTAATCTACTCTTCCAGTGGAAGACCTTTTCCTAAATGGCTTACACTTTCTATCATTTCTGACTTAAAAGGAGTATGATTGAAATTTAAAAGGAAACATAAAGTTTTGGAAGAATGGGCATTTCATGGCGTCTCTTTTATTCTTTTTTCCAAAATTTCTTACTTGTGGCTCCTGACCACCAATCTTGAAAAACAGTTTTGGACCTGTGTATCTAAATTGCTTTTCCAATAAGGAATGATAACCATGGGCATCTCTTTTTGAGCAGGTGATTGTTTCTGCTGCAGAACGTTGTCTTGATCCGATTCCTTTGGAGCCCCCCATCTTGGACAAACTCATACAAGCAAAGTTGGCGAAGAATTCGGAACAGAACCCAATTTCATCATAAAACCAATGGTGCAATCAGTAGTGATCTGAATTCCTTTATGTTGCTGGTGGCGGAGTGGTGCTTCACCTCGCCCGCCGGGTTGATGTTTTGAATCTGGCCTATTGGGCAATACCCATACACATACCTGAAGAGATTGATCTAGTTTCTGCTGACAACCTTGGTTATTCCTTTTCTGTAGGACATCGATGTATCGGTTCAGGCTCTGTTCTTTTCATACGAAGATAAACCATTCGAGTGTCGGTCTGTAAGATGTTTCCTCGGGCTTTTCATTGTTGTGATTTAAGACAGTTTCTCCGGAGAAAAAAGGAGATATTGACAAAAATGTTCGTTCCGAGGTTATATGTATTAAGCCTGGCATTTGGGTGCAAAGAATATCTTCTGCAAATTTTTACACCCACAAAATTGCCCGAGCATAAAATGATATATTTCATGTAGTTCAAATACCTTTGCGTTTCAGGTTTGCTTGCCTCCTATGATTTCGGTTTATTATGTATCTGGGATGTAAATGTCTGCATATCGGGATATCTTAGCTGGTCGGGGGGGGGGGGGGGGGGGGGTGAGATGTGGCATATGCAGATAGCGAGGATGCAACCCTCGTAACTCCAACTACGTCTTGTGCAATCTTTCTGCACATTTATAATCAACTCCAGCTTGTGCAATCTTTCTTGTAATTTATGATCTAGTGGCTAATTTAAAGTTGGATGTGGACTTCCATGGACTCATTTCGAAATTGGCCAACTTTTATATCTCAGGGCACTATGTTGGCCAATGTTTTTTGCAATCGCCCAGATTACTGTTACTGCATATTACCGAAGAATGTGGTGTGCAAGGGTGATGTTGTGAGTGATGTTGTTGGTGCTGTATATTTGTTTGACAGTGCGGGAGGGTGCGAGGTGGATGTGGAGTGGAGGGGATCGGTTCAAGGGTGTGAAAGTAAAAAATATTTATTGCAACAGTGATATTACGACAGTATTGTTGCGTGATATTATCAAGTAATAATGGATAAACAAATAAAAAAACGGATCACACACTAATCAATAACTACATATATTTATGTAAGTTAATAATTATTTATTCTTTTTTATATAAGTTAATAACTATCGAAGTGGAGTTCACTTTGTTTGTTTAAAATTTTATTATTAGTTGATGATATTATTTTATTAATGTTGCATTAAATATTTTCTCGCGAAAGAGAGAATGTGTAAAACAGAAAAAAAAAAAAAAAAAAAAAGAGGACAATGATGATGAGGAGGGCGGAGAGTTTAAGTAGGGGTTATTATTTTTTTGTTTTAATTTTTTTTTTCGGTGTTAATAATAGTTTAAGAGAAGATTTAATATTATCAAGAAGGAATAAGTGTTTCTATCCTAATATTAAAATCTTGCGTATTTTTCTCATAAAATTTGAGGAGATATTAATTTTTATATTGTATTGTCAATTAAGTATAAAGGTAGCAATATACTCTTTTTATAAAAAATTTTGAGTACAATATTTTTTTTGAGATCACTTAATATTTAATATTATGCAAATAATTGTATATAAGAATAGGTAATATGATAAATACGATAAAAAAATTATCAAAAGAAAAATAACAAACATTTACTTTTGAACTAAAAATAGTTTAAGGTATAAAACGTCATTTATCTTTTTTTTTTGACAAATCTATACTATACAATATCTATAAAATAATAAATTTCTTACCTTTTAAAATTTTTAAGTATTTTGAATTATTAAATTCTTAATCCTCAAATCAGATTCTACTAAATATCTCAAATAACTATTCAAAAATTAGACAATATAATTGTATACTAATTACAATTTTTAAAGAAAAAATTGAATTTTTATTTTTGATTTTAATTTAATAAATGATACAATAGAACATGAATATTAATTGTAAAATTTAAAATATTTGATATTTGATTAGAGTATTTTTTGTTTAAGTATAATATATTAAATTTAAAAGATCTAAGTTCAAGAGGTCTGAATGATTAAGTGACAAATCTCAGAGGGTCTGAATATAATTCTTCCTTAATTCATTGGTTGCATTAAAGTCACACCTTTAAGTCCTGTACCATTGCTCAAAAGAAAATTGAGAATAGAAGGGAGGTCCGTGCATCACACGGGTCGAACCTGATTATTCTTATAAACTCAATCGTGAGCGCAAATGTATCAAACTCAACCCTGTGGCTGTGGTCGCGGTCATACATTCGAGAACAAGACCCTCTTAGCCAGCGGCGGATCCACAGTGGGGATACTGGAATTCTAAAAATCTTGGGGACTATGTATAATTTTAAAAAATTTAGAATTTATTAGAGATTTGTCGCCACTAATTTTTTTTAAAAAGATTTAAGAGTAGTTATGTTATTTTGACAAATAAATGAGTCTCACTTGTAAATATTAATGGAAGATAGTATAAAAAATTTGGACATTTAAAAATTAACTAATATGCTACGAAATAAGTTAGCTCTCTTATTTGTTTTATGTTTATACATTGAAGTCAATTTGGGCCTTATAGTCCTCTTATTTGTTTTATATTTATTTGTTAGAATTGAAAATTAGGGTTTGTAGTCATTTTTTGTGGTTTATTTTTTAAATGTTGAATTAAAATTAACGTCTATAGCTCTCTGTTGTATTTTATATGTTACATGTTAAATTGAAAATATGAAATTGGGCTTGTAATCATCTCTTATGTTTTATTTTTTATGTATTGAATTGAAACTAGGATTTGTAGTCCTCTATTTATTTTTCTATATTGAAATAAATTGGAGCTTTGTAATCATCTTCTATGATTTATTTTTTTATATATTTAATTGATATTTGAGTTTATAGTCCTTTTTAGTGTTTTATTTTTATATGTTGAATTGGAATTAGGACTTATAGTCGTCTCATTTATTTTATTTTTATTTGTAGAATTAGAATTAAGGCTTATAGTCCTCCATTATAATTAGATTAAATTATTTTAATTTAGTAATTTGAATAGTTTTATTGTGATAAGTTAAGTACTTTTTATACCTAGGTTTAGGTTATTAGAATAATTATAGTTTAAGTTCGTTTTAATTATTTGTTAAAATTTAATGATGAATATTAAGTTTGTAATTGAACAAATTAATTTTTGAATTAGTTATGAAAATTTTTCTAAAAATTTAATATATGATTGAACCCAATTTTACGGTTCAAATTTTTTTTGTTAGGTTTTATAAAAAAATCTATAATGAGTTTTTTTTTGTTGGCTTATTTTGTATATCGTTCATGTATATAAATCGCGTATTTAATTGATGTTCTATTAATAAAATTACACTTTTGTAAATATTTTAAATTTTAATATTAATATAGTATAGGTTCTGTGTCTGGCTCCGCCCCTGCTCTTAGCCTTCCTTTTTTTTCCCGCCAAAACTGTCCTACTACTCTCTTCATTTGCCGCCAAACCTAACGCTCCTCCCTCAGTCTCAAACACCCCCCAACGGCCCTCTCTCTCTCTGATAGTGCCTGAAGCCGATACCATGAACGATCTCGACTTCACCCGGGACAAAGGTAGTCCTCTCTTTCTCTTTACATACATAGCATATGTCTCACTGATTAAACCATTTGAGTTTTTCATACAGATAGCGCTAAAGATTTTATTTCGCACTTCGCTGATGCAAATGGCGAAGCCAAATATTTGAACATCCTTGTAAGTGATCCTTTACCTCATCTTTATTGAATGATTAGACAGATCGAAAGCTCCCTACGTTTTGTTGCTGAAAGTTATCCCAAAAAGAGATCGTGATAATTTTTTCTCCGTTTTCTCACCAACCAAACGGAGTTTATAATATACAAACGAACAGAATAAAGAGAAGTTGGTTGTTTTGTTTTGCTTGATGAATTTGCCCTAATTCATTCCCCCTCTTATGTTAGCAAGATGTTGCGAATCGAAAGTACAAGGCAATCCAAATGGATCTTGAGGACCTGTTTAGTGTAATGATCTAAATCCTTGATTTTTATATTTTATCGATAAATCTTTTATAGTTATTTTATTGGATATTAAGACTATTATCCGTTTTTTTGCGAAAACCAGTATAAGGATCTGGATGAAGAATTCCTTACGCGGGTCACTGAAAATACTCGGCGATATATTGGAATATTTGCAAATGCAATTGATGAGCTGATGCCAGAGCCAACAGAGGCCCTTCCGGACGATGATAACGATATCTTCATGACACAGAGGTCTGAGGAAGGAACTGAGAACACGGATGGTTCAGATACAAAACAGAGAATGCCTCCAGAAATTAAACGTTTCTAGTAAGATTCGTGAGAACTCCACTTTTTTCCTGTGCATTAAATTATTTATAAATTTTGTTTCTAAATGATGAGTGGCTTTGACTCATACCACGAGGGATTATGAATACCTTAGTCCCGGCGTGCCTTTGACCGGACTGGAGAGGGAATTAATCAGATGCGCATAAACTGTCCCAAACACCCTATCGAACTAATAAAAAAAAGTTTCTTGATAAGGATGAGCCTCATAATGGAAAAGGGTCATTTATCAGTTTGTAATTCTTTGCATGGTTGATTGTATTCAGAGTTTGGCTTAATGGGTGGAGTTGTATTAAATGATGACTTCTGCATCTGCTACTAGGATTCAGATCATCATGCAATGAATTATATTCAGCTGTTATTAATGAAGCAATTACCCTATGCAATGAGCTGAGAAAAAAATGAAAACATTTTATTTGATATAGGGGATATATCTCAAATTTACAAATTTTAATCTTTGTCGAAACCAGTGAAGTCTATATTACAGCTTCTTCAAAGGGACGGCCATTTACTATTAGGGAGGTCAAGGCATCACATATTGGTCAGCTTGTCAGGATATCTGGTATTGTGACGCGTTGTTCAGATGTCAAGCCGCTGATGCAGGTGGCGGTCTATACATGTGAAGAATGTGGTTTTGAAATTTATCAGGTATCCGAGTTCAAGTCCCATTCAAGTACTCTAAAATCTAGTTTACTGTTAGGATATTGTTCACTTGATCTAACCAAAAGTCCTATCTTATTCCTTCATCTTTGTCCAATCCTAAACTGTTATGGAATTGTGCTTTCTTTCATATTTTTTTGGTCCTGATTTCTTTATTTTACAAGTCCATATTTTGTGAACAGGAGGTAACAGCTCGTATCTTTATGCCTCTATTCGAGTGCCCATCCTCACGATGCATGATAAACAGGGCAAAAGGGAACCTCATACTTCAGCTCAGAGCATCAAAGTTTTTGAAGTTTCAGGAGGTTTGTAATTTACTTTGAGTGTTGATCATAGGATAAAGATAAAAAAAGCAAAACCTCCTTGTGCATGTTTTTTTTTTAACATGTGACATGGTTCTCCTGAAAATTGCTTATTTACTTCTCATCTTCATGATACAATGTTGTGACATCTGATTTCAGGCCAAAATTCAAGAATTAGCTGAACATGTTCCAAAAGGTCATATCCCCCGATCAATGACTGTTCATTTTAGGGGTGAGCTTTCAAGAAAGGTTGGTGACTTTTGTGTCAATTTTCTGGAATCCTTTTAAGTGTACATATATATTCAACAAAGTTTTGTCCCCAAAATTCTGCATTTTTATGGCCTTAAATTTTGTAAAATCAGATGCTAATAAGTTATATACGCATGTATGTTTTCATTAATGTCTAAGAAAACAACATTCAGTTTGAGTATATGATACAGTTGTGTTCTAATTTATCTGTGATTTGACATCGTTTATATACCAATATCTATGTGCAGTTAAACGACTTCGAAGTGAATAAATGGAAATATCGTATAAATCCTGCTTTTTGCTTTTCATTCTCTGTTTAAACCAGATGTTTTCTCTTGGTTGCAGATGCTTTTACTATGCTTATCTGAGTTGTCAGATTTATTCTAAATGTTTTTACTTTTTAAATCTTCAGGTAGCTCCGGGTGATGTAGTCGAGTTATCAGGGATTTTCCTTCCAATTCCCTACACTGGATTTCGAGCAATGCGAGCTGGCTTAATTGCAGACACATACTTGGAGGCAATGTCTGTCTCACATTTCAAGAAAAAATATGAGGAGTAAGCCACTTCCAATTTAAAATCGTCATAACTCATTAAGACATTATTAATGTTTACCTGTTGCAACCATTTTTCAGTAATGCCCCATTCATTTTCATGTAATGGAAATTGTTGTCAGAATTTTATAGTTTGATTGCATGTAAAATGTTGGTGTAAACCACTTCCCAGAATATGGTTTACAATATCCGAAAATGACGGAGTTTTTGTAGCTAAACAATTTTCCTATTAGACACGGTTTGTATGTCCAAATTATAGGCACTTATATCCATTAGTTTAAAAATAGATTCATATGTGAGCACCAAATGTATAAAAAATATACATATATTCATCTATATATGTACAAGCCTACATGCATAAGCACATGAAAACTCATTCTGTATTTTTTTAGTGAAGGAATTTATCCGCAAAACGTCAAGCAACACAAGGATAATAAGAAGAAAACTGATTTTCTCATTAAAAATATTTTTCATCGAATTTCTTTTCCAGCGTAAAACATGTTACGCCAAAACAATCAGAGCGAAAATCCCATATGCTTTGTGTTGAAAAAATAATGACATTTATCTGTTCTCTATGTACACCATGAATCAATTTTTTGCTGTGGTGGTGTATAAGCTTGTATTATGGAAAACCTTATTTATATCTGCCATAAAAAAGGTTAGTAAATTGGAGAAAAGATTGAAGGAAAGAACAGGGAATTTCATCTTTTCTGGTACTGCCGTACTGGTTATCGTTCTTCCTCAAATTTTCTTTTGAAAGCTAGGCTGCTAGGTTGGAAATAAGAATAAAGTCCAAAATACAGAAAGCGTGTGCCAGTTTATATGTATATGTGTGTGTGTGTATCTATATAATAAGTAGCTAGCTTGGTTTGTCTTGAGTTTTTCGCGGCTCAGATTGATTTAGTATTATTGATCTGACGATTATAATTAATCTACATTCCTGCAGGATTCTATTACATTCTTTTTATCACTCCTTATCCCCATTTAAACCATTGGAGAGATATCTACATTCCTACACGATTTTGCTACATTCTTTTTATCTCTCCTCATCTTCATTCAAGAGATTGGTTTGGACATATATATATATATATATAATAACAAAATATATTCTAACATCTATTAAAACTCTAATAAAAATGATTATTTCTAATAAAATATAGGTTCATTAACATATGTTGTCCTATATATTTATTGATATACATATATACCGAAATCTATATCTATATGTATAATTCAATCTATATAATAAGCTATTTAAACGCGTAGTTTAAAACTTATATAATAAAATAACTAGATTTATTTGTTTTGAGATTTTTGCGGCTCAGATAGTTTGAGAATTATTGATTCAACGATTCTAATTAGACTTTCATTTTTTTTAAAACTCTAACACTCTCATTTCTAATACAACTCTTTCTCTCTCTATCTTATACAATCAACTCTCACAAGTATATAATTTTCTCCCTCTCCTTCTCCCTTTTCCTCTCCCTCACAGACATTTTATATACACTCTCCTATCTCTTATACTCTCTCTCTCTTTTATATATATATATATATATGAGATAGAATGAAAGTCAAATTAGAATCGTTAAGACAAACAATGTTATCTCACACTTTCTCTTTTAGTATTATTTGTTTGTTTTGACGATCTTAATTGAACTTATTTACTCAAAACATTTGTATGATTTTATAGATGAAAAAATATTTAAATATTAAAAAAAAAAATTCAGGTTGCAGATATTTAAAAGCCAAAAAAAATACCAATAAAAAAAATTAAAAATCAAACTAATCACCAATAAAAAAATAACAAGTGTTACCAATTGCACCAAAAAAATAAAAATAAAATAAAAGTCAAGTTAATCACTAATAAAAAATAACAAGTGTTAAATTGCACAAAAAAAATAAAAAATTCAAAATCAAGCTAATCACTAATAAAAAAATAACAAGCGATATCAATTACACCAAAAAAAATTAAAAAATTATGCACAAAAAAAAAACACTATTCTAAATCAACTATCAATTTTTTTTCTTTATTTGCATCGCTTTCCCCTTGTTACTATTTATATTTTTTAAATACTTGAATAGTTTAAAATAAATACCAAAACGATAAAAATGTCAGTTAAATTAATTTTTTTTTTTAAGTAATGAAATTTTGATTTTGTTATTTTGGTTTAATTGTGGCGTGAGAATATTTTTGTAGCATCCAAGAAGTCATAATAGTAGATAATTTAAATCAATTGTCCTTACAACTACAAACAGATTCGTTGAACAATATTGTTGAGTTGGGTATTTTTTCTATTTTTTGAATTTTGATTTGTAATTAAATATGAACTAGAAAACTTATTTATTATATTTAGTAAGAGGCTGAAAAAAAAGTAAACTCATTGGAAAAAAGAGCCGCCATGAAGAAATATATGAGTGGATAATTTGTAATGGTGTTAATTTAAGTTTATAGAGATTTTTGAATTGTATTAATATAATATAATTTTTTTTATTTCAATGCCTGAACTTCTTTTATTTAAGACATTCTTGGATGCCCCATTTGTTTGGCAAATTTTCTGTGTTAAGAGTGCTTTCAGGCACGGGTAATGACTAGTATATATATATTGAAGATAGTAGTTTATGCAGAATTACCTAAATACAAATACTTGGTTTTATTCATTTTACTTGTTAGTAAGTAAACATACAAACTTACCTGGACAGTTCTGGAAATTTTTCCATAAAGGATGTGTGGTTCAACTGTTCATCTTCAAAACTAGTTCAATTAGGCCAGAGAACCACTCTTTAAAAATAATAGTTTGTTTTAATTTCAGGTATGAACTTCGAGGGGATGAGGAAGAACTAATTGCTCGTTTGGCTGAGGACGGTGATATTTATAACAAGTTGGCTAGATCTTTGGCCCCTGAGATTTTTGGACATGAAGATATTAAAAAAGCACTTCTTCTGCTCTTAGTGGGCGCTCCTCATCGGACATTAAAAGATGGAATGAAGGTAAATGCACGGGGCAGATTCTTATGTCCACAGATAACATGAGAAATCACCTAACATTTGTAGTCTTGGAGCTTGGCAGCTTGAATGTTGTTTACTTTTCAGAATTGCAAGTTGAGAAGATTATGACATATTTTCTCTATGGAGAATCTGGATTTTCTTTGTCCTAAATGTTAATGCCCAACTCTTATTGCTTTATTTCTTCTTCTATTCTCCGGATTACGATTGCACATACAAATGCAGATTAGAGGAGATATACATATATGTTTGATGGGTGACCCCGGAGTTGCAAAAAGTCAGCTTCTTAAGCACATAATCAATGTTGCACCCAGAGGTGTGTATACGACAGGCAAAGGAAGCAGTGGAGTTGGTCTAACTGCTGCTGTCCAGAAGGATCCAGTAACAAATGAGATGGTTCTGGAAGGGGGTGCATTGGTGAGAATACTATCCTTTATATCAAGCACTCTAGTCATTACTAAGTGATATCAGTTCCATTTTCACAAGCATGAGCATTGAAAATGTGAGTGCTGCTATATTTTTATTAGAGTTTCAGTCTGTTTCTAGTTTCCTCAAGTATTTTTTTTGTCTCAAAACTACATCACAGGTGCTGGCAGATATGGGTATATGTGCTATTGACGAGTTTGACAAGATGGATGAGTTAGACCGTACAGCAATACATGAAGTAATGGAACAGCAAACTGTCAGCATTGCCAAGGCTGGAATCACTACATCTCTGAATGCAAGAACTGCTGTCCTTGCTGCTGCTAATCCAGCCTGGTACATATATTTCCTTCGTTTGACAAGTCAAATCCATTTGCTTAGAGACATTATTTCTTCTCATCTGATATCTGTTATGCTCCAAGTATAAAGCTGGTTTAATATTGCGAAACAAAGTTGCAAAGGTAGAATAAGCAGTCTATTAAAGATGATTTTTTATTTTTTTTTGTGTGAAGGGGAAGATATGACCTACGGAGAACTCCAGCTGAAAATATTAATCTCCCTCCGGCACTTCTATCAAGATTTGACTTTCTATGGTTGATTTTAGATCGAGCGGATATGGATAACGATCTTGAACTGGCTAGACATGTTGTCTATGTCCACCAGAATAAAGAATCTCCTGCTCTTGGGTTCACTCCACTTGAACCATCTGTTCTAAGGTAAATCCCACAAATGATATATTTGCCCTTTTAACTTTTCATTGGAGTGATATTCTACTTGCGTCTGTTGAGAGGACTCAGTCATGAGTTGTTTGAGAACAAATGGTTCTACTATCTGCCATATTAAATAGCTTTAAAAACTAATCAGCACAGCTCCCCAGATTATGGCATGTAAACTATGCTGATGAAGGTTGCATGACACCATGGTGGTTACATACACCTGGAGTTGAGGTTTTAAACAGCAAGACATACTTCCCATCATAGTTGTCAAATCGCGGTTCGTATCGTGAATCGGAGTCTTAAATTTGAGAATCGTAAATCGTAACATTCGACACAAAATTTGAACAAAAATAAAAATAATATTACATGTTTAAAATAGAAAAAATATTGAATATTGATTATTATTGCATTCTAAAAATAATCAATTGACATAATCTCGTCATCTAAATGGAAAGACGCTAGCCTTTTGTTTCATTTTCATCTTTTGCTTAACCATTTTTAAATTCAATAATTTGAAAAAAAAATGCATTAAAGAACCACGACTATTCAAAAACCAAAATAATGACACCAGTATAGATTAGGTTACAAATATGAAGGGAAAAAGAACAAATAAGAAAATTGATTGGGAGAAAACATACTGACCAATATTTTGAAATAAAAAATTAAAAATCAAACAAACTACTCATAAAAGAATTGAGAGCAAAAATCAACTGATGATGTAAGAGCATTAGCCATGACCTTTAGTTTTAGACAACATAAGCCGAGCTTTAGACGACGTTAAAGAGAGAATGAGTACAGAGGTTGAGTTTTTATTAGGGCATGAATTCCTCTACAAATAAAATGACGTTGTTTTAATGTTTAGCAGACAAAACGATATTGTTTTCTAAAAAAATTGGGTTTTAAAAAAAGTGATTGAATTGTGCGATCCATGTGATTCAATTTTAAAACGATTCTCATATTAGATACGAATCATTTTGTATTTGTATCGAACTGAATCGTACGAATCGAATCACAAATCGTACGATTTTGATAACTATGCTTTTCATAGAGCCTTTTTTCTTGTTATCTTTGGATTGAAGCACCTATAGTTATCAACTTCTATTGAATGTTCAAAATTGAAGAGTTGACTTGCCTCAATCTGTTCCTGTTATAAATAGTACTACAAACACATGATTTTCCCCCTTTTTACAACACAAGTAGCTCTTAGAGTAAGCTGAATACTTGTTTATTGTTTCCAGGGCATATATTTCAGCTGCAAGAAAATTGTCTCCCTTTGTCCCAAAAGAGCTGGAAGAGTATATTGCCAGCGCATATTCCAGCATCAGGCAGGAAGAAGCAAAGTCAAATACCCCCCATTCCTATACAACAGTGAGAACACTGCTTAGCATTCTCCGGATATCATCTGTAAGTGCTCATGTCTTTGTTCTTTTGTAATAGTATCTGGTACCATCCCAAGATTCCATTTGTTCTTATTAAGTAGGGTGTCAAGATATCAGGTCTGGCTGGGTTTTGCTCACAGAGGGAGGGCATTTCATAATTTTTGTCTTCCCTGCGAAGCAAACATTGTGAACCTAGGGTCATTATTCAATTGCTTAGTTGTTTGGCTGGGAGTGGCAAATATTATTTTTTCCCTTGCAGATGGAGAAATTAGTGTGTACATGGTATCTTAATAGATGATATACGCAATTGCTTTCGAAACTTATTTGATTTTATTACAGGCACTGTCAAGGCTTCGGTTCTCGGATGCCGTTGCTCAGAGTGATGTAGATGAGGCTCTTAGGTTAATGCAGATGTCAAAGTTTTCTTTGTATTCAGATGATCGCCAAAGATCTGGTCTGGATGCAATATCTGATATTTATTCGATCTTGCGTGATGAAGCTGCAAGGACTAACAGGATGGATGTGAGCTATGCTCATGCGCTTAATTGGATTTCTAGAAAGGTTAGTTTCTAAAGTTTGGTTGCTTTCAGGGTTGAATTGGGGGAAGTCAAGTTTAATTAGTGATCAATCAGTGTATTTTAGAATTAAAATTGAGAGGCCAAACCATCTGCTGAGATGAGCAGGTTGCTTGTGATATCACAACAGAAAATGAAAAATGTTTAAAACCGTTACTCACAGTTTAGGTTGTCCAATGAAGAGAATGGTTTTGAAACGAAGTGTACTGAAAAACTTTCAGCATGAAGTATAATATATGTATATATGTGTAGTGTATGGCTTGTACAGCCCTATATTAGGATGATCTTATGAATTTTACCCGTGTCCCAAGTTTTTATTAATAGAAAAGCAAATCTGAAAAGTATGATGCTACATTATTTGGGTTTTGTTGACTCATCTTACTCATCATTATACGGTACTCAAACCCTATTTTATTGGTACTATTCTTGAGACAAAAAAAATCATGAACCAGTTCAGTGCGGTTGATTATGCCAAATTGGACAATCAATTGGACTTCATAAAAAATTGCGATTAGTTGAATGTGTTTCAATTTTGATTTGTTTTGTGTGAATATATCCTAATTGGGCAGTTTTTAGTCAGTAAGTTCTGTATGCTGTTATTTTTGGTCATCTGTCACTAACATAATAAGGATAATTTTGCGTGATAAAAGATTTACTTCGAAGCTAACATGCCAAAAAAGCTGGCAGATATATTCTCGACATTGTTCTTTCTGTTTCTCAAAATTAAGCTTCTTTTCTTGTAACTCACAAATTTCCTCCTGATGATACTTTAAAATCATTTGCTGAGGTTACAGTCATTTGCTTGTCTCTTACTATGAGTTGTATCCTTCTAAACAGGGATATAGTGAAGCCCAGTTGAAAGAATGCTTGGAGGAATACGCAGCCTTGAATGTGTGGCAGATCCATCCAAACACCTTTGACATTCGATTCATTGATGCCTGATGTGTCTGTCTCCCCTTTATGTATTTGATCAGATCATGTGCGCACAGAACAGATGACCGATCGGGCCAGACTTCAATGCGAGGCCTAGGGATGCCAATAACTTGCTCCCGTTGTAACTATGTTCAACATTACTTCTGAAGGTATAATTAATGCTGGCATAACACTCTCAAGGATTGGTGGAGGTGCTTTCACTTGAACTAACATTATGATCGAAGAAACTGTAATGAAAATTAGAACTGGGTATGGTAGAAGTATGCTACATGCAGGATTCAAGGTGTTATAAACTTCATTGACTGTATTATCATCTCTATTTCTAGCCGATTTTAACCCTTTGTTAGAGTTCAAAGCCTCGTTTGCGCATCTGCTAAGCCTAGATGAGTATGATATATGAATTTTTCCGATGGATGCTGAATAGGAAGAGTCGGCTTGAATGTCCCACTGAAAATTAGATAGTTCTCTTCTCAAGCAATAGTATTAAAGAAGAAATGTTCTCTTGAAATCTCAGATATTGTTGTCTCAACTGTTTTTCATGATGGAATTCAGGGTTTTCTCCCCTTTTGGTCCAAAGTGACTAACCAGAATAATTTAGTGAGGCTCATTTCTCTTTGGGGTAATTGAATTTGGGGTGTATTCATTTGTAATTGTACCCACAATCATACCAACTTTCGGGCATAGCAAGTCCAGGGGAATGGACCCGAGTGGCTGATTACTCCTTGTATGTACTAACTGGTGCTAGGTTCAAACCCCTCTCCCCTATGTAATTGCTTCCCAAATTTAAAAAAAATAAAGAAAAAAAAGTCCAGGAGGATGAAAAGACAGCATGACCCTCCGTAACGCTGAAATATGCCCAATGACATTATGGCAGCCAAAACCAGTACGAGAGTGTGTTTAATAATGTTGCAACGCCTCATCCATAAAAAGGTGGAGTGCACCCCTTAAACACATAAAATTTAACTTAATTTATTATACCATCACTTTTTATATTAATTAAATTAAAAAATTACCAACATAATAAGAAAAAAATCTATTTTTTTTCCTCTCTTTTTCTATGAGGTTGAGATCTGCATAGTCTTTTTTTTTTTTTTGCGCCTTAGAAATAGTATAGGGATATATTCGGTTAATTAAAAAATTGTTAGTTAATTATGCGAGTACATTAAAGTCAAATCCAGTATTTAGAAGGTTGAAACACACGTTTCACAGCTTTGAAGCCAGTCACCGCATTCGACGACAGAAGAGAGAGAAATGGAGACGAATTCGCAGCAACCAGAGTCGGCGTTATCTAGTATTCTATATCTCTTCCTTTTCTTTGTCTTCTTAAAGATTTATTCTTATTTCAAGGTTACAAAAAGATTAACTAGTTAAGGTTTTAGATATTGCATCATCTAAACAGAGTTTTCACAGTCCTAACTATCAACTGGATTCACAACTAACTAGTGGGTCAAGGAAAAGTTAATGGGTATATGTATTTTCCCATTCAATTATTCAAAATGATAATTCCATAGGATCTTACTTACTGGTTATCACTGTGCCTCTATATTAACTGATTCATGCATTTCTTTTCGAATCATGCTTGAACCCTTGGTGCATCCTTGCATTCAGTAAATGGATGTATGTATGAAGCTAAATACTTCTGCGAAATTTGAAATTAATCGGTGAGCAATTGTGCACTTAGATCCTTTTCCACTGTCTATAAGTTATTGTACAATTTCATAACTGAAGTAAAACCTAATAGGAGTCGGATACTACTTGTCTGTTGGGTACTTGACATGTTATAGCTTTGTTGTGCTTGCATCTTGAAACCCCCCAAACATAGTATTTTAATTCTCCGTACTAGTTACAATTGGCACGATAGAAAGATTTTTACTGTTTTAGCTATGGATTGAATCCTTAAAGTTGCTATAGAAAAATTTGAAAAGGGACTACACTTGATTAAGGATTCAATCTTTCTATCGAGCCAATTATAACTAGTACGGAGAATTAAAATATTGTGTTTGGGGGGTTTCAAGATGCAAGTACAATAGAGCTATAGCATGCCAAGTACCCAACAGACAAGCAGTATCCGACTCCTATTAAGATGTACTTCAATTATGGAATTGTACAATAACTCATAGACAGTGGAAAAGGATCTAAGTGCACAATTGCTCACCGATTGATTCCAAATTTCGCAGAAGTATTTAGCTTCATACATACACCCATTTACTGAATGCAATGATGCACCAATGGTTCAAGCATGATTCGAAAAGAAATGCATGAAATTAGTTAATATAGAGGGACAGTAATAACCAGTAAGTAAGATCCTATAGAATTATTATTCTGAGTAATTGGATGGAAAAATACATATACCCATTAACTTTTCCTTGACCTACCAGTTAGTTGTGAACCCAACTGACAGTTAGGCCTGTGAGAACTCTGTCTAGATGATGCAATATCTAACACCCTAACTGATTAATCATTTTGTAACCTTGAAATAAGAATAAATCTTTAGGAAGACAAAGAAAAGGAAAGGAAGAGATATAGAGTATCAGGTAACGCCGACTGTGGCTGCGGCGAATTCGTCTCCTTTTCTCTCTCTTCTGTTGTCGAATGTGGCGACTGGCACATACAAAAAGATTGATGTTAGATTAATGTTTCTGACACATACGAAACTAGAATATAATAGAAAAGTGCAACAATGGGAAAGTAAGACTCTCACAAAAAGATTGAACACCTACGTGTGCATCATCTGCTGCCCAACCATCTCTGTCTGTCTCTTTACTAGCCTCTTCATCATACCCATCACCTTCTGCATCACCAACATCCTCATCTTCCTGAAAGATAAGAAAGCATACTTGAGAACATGCTGGTGCTGTAAGTGAAAACCTTAGAGAGTGTTAACAGAAGCTTACATCTGAACCAACTGGATCACTCATTGATTCCTGATACAATAAGAAGCAGAATTAGGAACATATTATCAGATTTACCAACTAAAGCAAACCCAAATTATACTTCAGCTAAAGATCCTAGAGCATTCAAGGTGATCAGCAGACCCTGGGAGCTAATGCTACTAGAGGACATTATAGAGATTAGTTTCACACAATTCCCAATAGGTGTTAAATGAACTAAAGATAAAAAAAATTCCCTCCAGTAGACATAGAAAAAGAGAGAAAATTTCATGGTAACAATCCCTTTCTTTTTACTGTTTTACATGGACTTCATTACTAATTCGGTGAAACAACCATGACACAGCTAAGATCATTAATTCATCAGATGTGTCCATGACAAAACCCATGGTCATTAAGGAAAAAAGGGGGAGGGGAGCGCCGAGAGACTTTGCCTTCCCTTCATCTCCTTTATGATGTGTAGAAACAAGGGCATATCAGCACACACAACACATAAAGATATATTCAAGTCACAAAATCTCACACCCCCTTTCAGGTGAGCATGAGAATACCTCTTCTTCTCTCCTCTTCTCTGCCTCATCAAATGCAATTTGCTCTGCCTGCAAACACATATGATCTCAGCATTAATGAACTGTAAATTCCTTAACAAAGATTGAAAACATTATACCGCAAATAAAACACACATCTTTGTGCTTTCCCCAAGTATCTTCAGCAAGCTGCTTTGCATATTCAGGATCATCACACACCAAAACATTATCAAACAAGGTCCCAGACTTTACCTGGTTGATGGAAATAAAATGTTTGACAAAGATTTTAAATTCTGTAAAAAAAAAAAAGAACAAATAAGAAGCAGCAAATATGGAATGTAGTGACAATTGCCTGCCATAATTCAATCCTCACGTATCTCAAATGGTGGTAGACATAAATATCTGGTTCGTCCTTGAAATCTGAAAAAAAAAATAAAAAACAATATCAAAGTATTCTTTGAAAAAAAACTGATTGCAAGATGCATAAAGACAAAGACACATAAACATATGCACAACCTGGGTTGTCGATCATAGGAGCCTTCCACTCCCCCATGTAGTTTGGATTCTTTATGCTCTGCAAAAATATCAAGAGCAGTTATAAACTATGCTTCTAGAATACAATAGCAATTTTTCAAACAGAACATATTTCAGCTAACCTTCTGCTTCAATGGCCCCTTGTACTTGGGGTTTACAGTTTTTGGAGGTGTCCACTCACCATCCTCCTCATCATCCCAGTCTTCAGGCTTGAGTGGTAAACATGCGGTTCAGTACTACCTTGCTGTCTATAGAGCTATGCTTACAATAAAATGCAAAAGACCAAACAGGAAAAAATAGAAGACTTGCCTTCTTAGCATCAGTATCAGGTATCTCCACTGGAATGTCATCATAGCCCTTTACAAATAGATATGTAGTCAGATTGCTAAATCTACATGTCAGGTTTCAGTTAAAGATCACAGCAAAACTTCATGAGCAGAAGAAGTTTACCTCTGGTTTCTTGTCTTCTGGATCAGGAATATACTGCTGATCGCCCCAATCATCAGGCTGTAAATGGCCAAGAAGTAGCTATGTTGTCATCAAAGTTCATCACGGCCATACCATAATCTAAGAATAGAATCCATAACTATTTTTTTATTAATTACTTTCTTGGCTTCAGGATCTTTGATCTTCTTTGCAGGAAGAATCTTCCAATCAGAATACAAACTACCATATCGTTTCTCCACATTGTCAATTAGGATGGTATAGGTAGCATCAGGTTTGAGGATGAAAGTATAAACATGAGTCAGCCGGTCAGTCGCACAAGGCACATCTTTCTTGAGGAAGTAATTCGATCCATTGTAAGAAACAATGGCATGAACTTTCTTGGTGCTGTCCCCACATATATCAGGTCCAAACATGATACTGCATTTCACAACACACAGAAACACACCAATTTTCAAATTTAGACCAAAAACCAAAAAGAACCCTAAGCAGGGAAAACAAAAGAACACTTGACAAGAGGGAAACAGTAACACGTTACAAATTACAATTGAAGAAAGGGAACCTACCTGTATGGTGTACCACCGCCAAATTTCTTTTGATCAACTTTACCACTGAGTAACTTATAGGATCACTGGGTCTCCACTCCACCTTCCAGAAGTATAGTTCCATTTGCCAGCCCTGTTCTCGTGTTTCTTCCAATCAGAGATAACCCACCGTTTCTCCCAGCCATCTTACTCGTTTTACATGGTTAAAAACACTCAGCAAAATTTTATTGAGGACAATAAATTCTTGAACAAGGAAGACAATATAAAATAAAGAAATTTTAAACTGTGGGCACCCAAGTGATCTTAGTGATGATGAAAAGAGAACCAATCAATGTATGCTAAAGCGTATTTCTTTATCTTAAGTTTTGGGGAGGCGAGGGTAGGGGTTTGGACTTTGGAAAGATGATTTAGATCAAAAACATACCAAGTGGTCTATCGCTACCAAGTCTAGGGTAATTAGGTTAAAAAATATACAAACACAATGCTATAAATTATTTCTCCTCGTGGTCAAATAAAAGCAGAGATAACTCCAATATCAACTGATATAAACGCACACAAATTTATTTTTCTTTTCTCCTAATAAAGATCCATTGTGAGGCTAATGATGCTATGGAAAACATGAAAAAACAGATGACGACTAAGTGATTCATAATGGAAAAAGCAATTGCCCCAAGGAAAGAAAACATTATCCAACAATATAAAACAGGTGCCGCTGTCCATTATAGGCCATAAAGGTCTCCTTTCAAGTTGTGAATCTCTAAAGTCCACTCCCTTTGAGCACAATTTCAATATTTGGTATATATTCCTTCTCCAAAAATTCTTTACAGAGGTTTTTGGCTTAGATCCTACTAACAAACATGTGTTGCAATGAATTCTAAACCGAAGTTTTCATTTTACCAAGCACCGAATACATAAGTTCAGTCTTTCGAGTCATACGGTTATAAATTCTTCATCCTAAGGCGAAATGTACTTAGTTTTAGATAGGAAGCCTTGTGATCGGTGAGATGTAGGTTTGAATTAAACATATCAACACATTTATTGCGATGAATTTCTATTGCTTGTATGTCAGTCGGTGATAATTACTAAATATGTTCAAGAGTGTAACATCTTCGTTTGCAACCGCGAGCCAGGGCAATGTCAGCTTCCGAACTCTACTTTTTTCTCAAATCATCTCTAAAGCGGAAAAAAAAAAAAAAAAAGAGAGGGTGATTTCTTGAAACCTAGCTAAGTAAAATTCACTGATAAGAGAAATAGAACCTCGTCCAGGAAATCTGTGGTACCTTCAAAGCGCTCTTCGAAGAACACTTCAGCCGAAACAACTGCTAGCAAAGAAAGGACGATGGCGCCGATAATGTTGATGATATTCATCGGAGTCTCCATCACTGAAGAGAGCACTCTCGGGGAAGTGGCTGTAGAGTATCCTATTCCTACAAGCACGCTAGTCTCCTCTCTCTAATTGTCAAGGTGGTATGGTAGTTGACCGATAACCTCTTTTTTTTTTATCAAGGCCAATAACCTCCAAATATACTTTTTAAGGGAAATGGCAGTTTGTCCTCGAAAGATTAAAAAATTCTCAATTTATACCCTTAAAAATTAATTATTTTAAATTATACCCTCAATTAAATTAATTGATAGCAGTGTGACCCCAATCATAACGTCCATTGTAATTTTCATCAAATTAGCAGCCACATGAGACATACATGAAAAAGAGAAGGGTTATAATTTAACAAAAATCATCATGTACATTTTAAGTTATAAAACATGGATACTTAAAAAAGATCAAGATATTGATATCGAATATTTCTCGGATACGGATACGCGTCCAATATGACTGGATACATATTCAATACGGGATGAGAAGTATTCTAAAATTTAAAAAATAAATTTAATTTTCGAATATAGCAGGATACGCCTTGGATACGAATGAGATATGCTTAGGATAGTGGGATATTATTTGAATTTTTTAAAAAGTATAAGGACAGAAGAACAAATATGTTTGTGCCTTTGTAAAAAAAAAATTATAAAACGCCAATTCAGTCGACACCCCCCCCCCCCCCTTCTCTCAATCGACGATCGACTAACTCTCTGTCTCTCGCTCTCACTCACGATGGACTGACTGTATTTGACGCCGATCGACGACGGGTATCTCCTCTTTCACCTCCAACGACCTGTATTTGACCCCGATTAGCCCAACTCAGTCGACAGCCCCCCTATCTCTCTGTGTCCAAGTACAGCGGGTAAGTTCTCTCCTCTCTCTCTCTCTTTTTCTGTCTGTCTATCGTCTCTTTTGCCTTTTACCAGCGATTACCATGCCTTTTGAGCCTTGAATTAGGGTTTGCAATTAAGGGGTTTTTTTGGGGGCCTTGAATTAGGGTTTGCAATTAGGGTTTTTTTTTTGGAGCAATTTGGAGAACAATCTACACATATACAGATATACAATAAGGTAATGTCTGGTTCAAAAAATTAGATTCCTGGTTCAAAAAATTGCAAGTTTTATTATATACATAATGCTTGGTTTTATATACATAATGCCTGGTTTATATATACTGATTCCAAGGTTTTTATATACATAATGCCTGGTTCAAAAAATTAGTTGCACAATAAGATGGATGTCCTTGAATTTAACTGCCACTAAATTTTACTGCACTGCCGATTCCTTTTATTAAATTAATAATTATAGGGGAATGAGTACGGGTACAGAAAGTATTGGCTCAATGGTTTCTTTTGTTTAAGCATGGACTTGATATTATGCAATATGTATGTTATATAAAATGTATGATTTATGAATGATAGAATGATTATTATTATATATCTTTGGTAGATGTGTGATTCACTTTATAAATCATAATTATTACATTAAATATAATAATAAAATTTTAAAAAATCTATTTTTTATAAACGTATCCTAGCCGTACCCGGTTTTGTTGTATCACCGTATTCGTATCTGTATCTGTGATTCATAGGTTATAGCCTTAATCTTTAGAGGAGGGATACAAATAAATAAAAGAGAAAAAAAAATCTAACAAGACAGTTTTTCAAGCAAAGATTGAGAAAATGTCATCACAGATTAATGGTTTGACTTTATATAATGCACCTACTTCATTCATTTAGTAGCCAATTTCTAACGTAATGAACATCTACTAGTAAACAGAAACCTTATGCATTTTACGTATAACTATATGGAGCTCATTTATTCTATTTATTATCTTAAATTCTTTAGCAAAAAACAACTTACATCTAAAAACATCTCTACCTTTTCTCGCTAAGTGATCAGTATTGTAACATCATGTTCCCCTTTTTGTGAATCGAAACAATCTACATTCCAAGTAAAATTGGTTCTACTCATGGGGTTATACATTTATGTTTAGGCTTTCCTATTTGGTCTAAATAGGTTGTGCCTCTATTTTTTTCTTGTTTAGCTCATATGGTTGAAGCCAGCCCCCAGCCTGGATGAACATGGGTTCTGTCAAGCAAATGGCTGGTGTTGATATGCATTCCATTGGCTTTGTGCGGGTGAACTTCATGTATTTAATTTGAAAAAGCTAAATTGAGTTGCTGATGAATGATGCAGGAGTCACAGGACATATAATGGAGGCTCAGTTGCAGGATGAGATATCACCCAATCCACGAGTTAGAGCAACACTGCACCTTGGATCAGAAACTTATTCTGTTCATGTGAAGAAGGGAATTCTTTCTGAACAATTGGTTTCAATGAAGGAGGAGAGCATGAGCATCCTGAAGGAGTTCATCACTAAACACAACGTTCCAAACAATGACCCTGATGAGCCAGATGAAATTTCCTCAGAAGATGATGCTGAAATCCCTGAGAAGTCTCCTGTGAAGTCAAAGAAGCGAAAATAGTTTTTCTTACCTTAGGGATTAAATTGCACAACAAAACATTTGTGGTATCTGAGAATATTTGTTAGTCAATCATGAGTTGTAGGTAATATCTATATCTGTTTAGGCAACATTGCAAGTTCTTGCAAAATTGTATTAGAGAAATACTTCTGAGAATGTGTTGGTGGTCATTCTTGCTTCTGGTATGATTTCTTCGTACATCACCTAGCATTTTGGAAGCTCTTCCCTTGCTTTTGTTTCACCCTTTTAGATACGTGGCTTTAATTTTTGCTCTTTCTGTTGCTGAAGATGGGAAAGTTAATTGAAATTTTTCTATATCGAGGTTGAGGCCAGAGCCATTTTAACCTACTGATAAGCAGGAGAAGGGGGTAAGGAAAGGTGGGGGAGTGCAAGAGAAAGTGAGAATTCCACAGGGAAGGTTTTTTACTTCTTACTATTGCCATTAAAATTTTAACTGTAATCCTTAAGCAAATTATAGAAGACGCATTATCAAATGGATTTGAAGTTTGTCCGTATAATAAAGCCTCCAAAAATTTTAAATTGTTGGTTGGTTGGATCAATTGTTTTAAATTGTCATACAAGTGATGACTTTTGTCAGATTATGGCGTTTTCCCTTTTCACTTGCATCTATTGTGCATGTCCATCCAATAAAAATTGTCATGAACGTAATTGAGATCGATATTTTCATTGAATTGACAATCACTTAAAATGTATGTAATGACTTTTGTTAAATTATGATCCTTCTTTTTTTCACGTATGTTTCGTGTGCCTGCCAATTTGATGAAAATTGCAATGGATGTTATGATTGGTGTCACACTGCTATCAATTAATTTAATTGAGGGTATAATTTAAAATAATTAAATTTTAAGGGTGTAAATTGAGAACTTTTTAATCTTTTGAGGTATAAACTGCCATTTCCCTTAAAAATTATATTTGAAGAGGTTATTGGTCTTGATAAAAAAAGAGGTTATTGGTCAACTACCATACCACCTTGACAATTAGAGAGAGGAGACTAGCGTGCTTGTAGGAATCGGATACTCCACAGCCACTTCCCCGGGAGTGCTCTCTTCAGTGATGGTGACTCCGATGAAGATCATCAACATTATCGGCGCCATCGTCCTTTCTTTGCTGGCAGTTGTTTCGGCTGACGTGTTCTTCGAAGAGCGCTTTGAAGGTAACACAGATTTCCTGGACGAGGTTCTATTTCTCTTATCAGTGAATTTTACTTAGCTAGGTTTCAAGAAATCATCCTCTCTTTCTTTTTTTTTCTCGTTTTAGAGATGATTTGGGAAAAAAGTAGAGTTCGGAAGCTGACATTGCTCAGGCTCGCGGTTGCAAACGAAGATGTTACTCTCTTGAACATATTTAGTAATTATCACCGACTGACATACAAGCAATAGAAATTCATAGCAATAAATGTGTTGATATGTTTAATTCGAACCTACATCTCACCGATCACACGGCTTCCTATCTAAAACTAAGTACATTTCGCCTTAGGATGAAGAATTTATAACCGTATGACTCGAAAGACTGAACTTATGTATTCGGTGCTTGGTAAAATGAAAACTTCGGTTTAGAATTCATTGCAACACATGTTTGTTAGTAGAATCTAAGCCAAAAACCTCTGTAAAGAATTTTTGGAGAAGGAATATATACCAAATATTGAAATTGTGCTCAAAGGGAGTGGACTTTAGAGATTCACAGCTTGAAAGGAGATCTTTATGGCCTATAGCGGACGGCGACACCTGTTTTATACTGTTGGATAATGTTTTCTTTCCTTGGGGCAATTGCTTTTTCTACTATGAATCACTTAGTCGCCATCTGTTTTTTTATGTTTTCCATAACATCATTAGCCTCATAATGGATCCTTATTAGGAGAAAAGAAAAATAAATTTGTGCGCGTTTATATCAGTTGATATTGGAGTTATCTCTGCTGTTATTTGACCACGAGGAGAAATAATTTATAGCATTGTGTTTGTATATTTTTTAACCTAATTACCCTAGACTTAGTAGCGATAGACCACTTGGTATGTTTTTGATCTAAATCATCCTTCCAAACCCCTACCCTCGCCTCCCCAAAACTTAAGATAAAGAAAATATGCATTAGCATACATTGATTGGTTCTCTTTTCATCATCACTAGGATCACTTGGATGCCCACAGTTTAAAATTTCTTTATTTTATATTGTCTTCCTTGTTTAAGAATTTATTGTCCTCAATAAAATCTTGCTGAGTGTTTTCAACCATGTAAAACGAGAAAGATGGCTGGGAGAAATGGTGGGTTATCTCTGATTGGAAGAAACACGAGAACAGGGCTGGCAAATGGAACTACACTTCTGGAAGGTGGAGTGGAGACCCAGTCGATAAAGGTGTGATACTGTTTATTTACATCTTTTTATAGTAAGTTATTCGAGTGCCTGATGCAACTTTGCTTATTATCATTGCATTACATATGTTGATTGTGACATTTCATATCTTTTTATTACATGATATGTTACTCCGCAATCACTTGCATGTCTTGGTTTAGGTATTCAAACCAGTGAAGACAACAGGTTCTATGCAATATCGGCCGAGTTCCCTGAATTTAGTAACAAGGACAAGACTCTGGTGTTCCAGTTTTCTGTTAAGCATGAGCAGAAGCTAGATTGTGGTGGTGGCTACATGAAGTTACTCAGTGGTAAAGTTGATCAAAAGAAATTTGGTGGTGGTACACCATACAGGTAGGCTCCCTTTCTTCAATTGTAACATGTTACTGTTTCCCTGTTGTTAAGTGTTCTTTTGTTTTCCCTGCTTAGGGTTCTTTTTGGTTTTTGGTCTAAATTTGAAAATTGGTGTGTTTCTGTGTGTTGTGAAATGCAGTATCATGTTTGGACCTGATATATGTGGGGAAAGCACCAAGAAAGTTCACGCCATTGTTTCTTACAATGGATCGAATTACTTCCTCAAGAAAGATGTGCCTTGTGCAACTGACCGGCTGACTCATGTTTATACTTTCATCCTCAAACCTGATGCTACCTATACCATCCTAATTGACAATGTGGAGAAACGATATGGTAGTTTGTATTCTGATTGGAAGATTCTTCCTCCAAAGAAGATCAAAGATCCTAAAGCCAAGAAAGTAATTAATAAAAAAATAGTTATGGATTCTATTCTTAGATTATGGTATGGCCATGATGAACTTTGATGACAACATAGCTACTTCTTGGCCATTTACAGCCTGATGATTGGGACGATCAGGAGTATATTCCTGATCCGGAAGACAAGAAACCAGAGGTAAACGTCTTCAGCTGATGAAGTTTTGCTGTGATCTTTAACTGAAACCTGACATGTATATTTAGCAATCTGACTACATTTCTATTTTTGAAGGGCTATGACGACATTCCAGTGGAGATACCTGATACTGATGCTAAGAAGGCAAGTCTTCTATTATTTTCTGTTTGGTCTTTTGCATTTTATTGTAAGCATAGCTCTATAGACAGCAAGGTAGTACTGAACCGCATGTTTACCACTCAAGCCTGAAGACTGGGATGATGAGGAGGATGGTGAGTGGACACCTCCAAAAACTGTAAACCCCAAGTACAAGGGGCCATGGAAGCAGAAGGTTAGCTGAAATATGTTCTGTTTGAAAAATTGCTATTGTATTCTAGAAGCATAGTTTATAACTGCTCTTGATATTTTTGCAGACCATAAAGAATCCAAACTACATGGGGGAGTGGAAGGCTCCTATGATCGACAACCCAGGTTGTGCATATGTTTATGTGTCTTTGTCTTTATGCATCTTGCAATCAGTTTTTTTTTCAAAGAATACTGTGATATTGTTTTTTTTTTTTTTCAGATTTCAAGGACGACCCAGATATCTATGTCTACCACCATTTGAGATACGTGGGGATTGAATTATGGCAGGCAATTGTCACTACATTCAATATTTGCTGCTTCTTTTTTTATTTTTTTTTTTTTTTTTTAGAATCTTTGTCAAACATTTTATTTCCATCAACCAGGTAAAATCTGGGACCTTGTTTGATAATGTTTTGGTGTGTGACGATCCTGAATATGCAAAGCAGCTTGCTGAAGATACTTGGGGAAAGCACAAAGATGTGTGTTTTATTTGCAGTATAATGTTTTCAATCTTTGTTAAGGAATTTACTGTTCATTAATGCTGAGATCATATATGTTTGCAGGCAGAGCAAATTGCATTTGATGAGGCAGAGAAGAGGAGAGAAGAAGAGGTATTCTCATGCTCACCTGAAAGGGGGTGTGAGATTTTGTGACTTGAATATATCTTTATGTGTTGTGTGTGCTGATATGCCCTTGTTTCTACACGTCATAAAGGAGATGAAGGGAAGGCAAACTCTCTCGGCGCTCCCCTCCCCCTTTTTTCCTTAATGACCATGGGTTTTGTCATGGACACATCTGATGAATTAATGATCTTAGCTGTGTCCCCACCCATGGTTGTTTCACCAAATTAGTAATGAAGTCCCTGTAAAACAGTAAAAAGAAAGGGATTGTTTCCATGAAATTTTCTCTCTTTTTCTATGTCTACTGGAGGGAATTTTTTTGTCTTTAGTTCATTTAACACCTATTGGGAAGTGTGTGAAACTAATCTCTATAATGTCCTCTAGTAGCATTAGCTCCCAGAGTCTGCTGATCACCTTGAATGCTCTAGGATTTTTAGCTTAAGTATAATTTGGGTTTGCTTTAGTCGGTAAATCTGATAATATGTTCCTAATTCTGCTTCTTATTGTATCAGGAATCAATGAGTGATGCAGTTGATTCAGATGTAAGCTTCTGTTAACACTCTCTTAGGTTTTCACTTACATCACCAGCATGTTCTCAAGTATGCTTCTTATCTTTCAGGAAGATGAGGATTTTGATGATGCAGAAGGTGATGGGTATGATGAAGAGGCTAGTGAAGAGACAGACAGAGATGGTTGGGCAGCAGATGATGCGCACGTAGGTGTTCAATCTTTTTGTGAGAGTGTTACTTTCCCATTGTTGCACTTTTCTATTATATTCTAGTTTCGTATGTGTCTGAAATATTAATCTAATATAAATAGGTGATAGGGTGCCAGCAATACACACCTCACACACAATATTGTTTTATAATATCTTCCTATCTTTTGCTTCTTCTTCTTCTTCTCCTCAACCCTAGTACAAATTATTCAAGTTTCAACCAGGTAACAGAGTTGGGTCTTGGAACCATTTGAATTTCTGGTTATTCATGTTTGTATGTTTGTTTGTTAGTCCCATGCGCAAACCAGGTCTAACGGTTGTATCCTACGTCAAATGATTAAGACTGCCTAAGATTGATTTGTATGCTTAAAGGGTCTCTCCACTCATTACCACTAGTTTTGTGTTGAATGCTCTACCAGGACTAACACACGGTTTTATGATGCTAAATATTTTACTAAGCCAACACTAGAAGGCACAGTGAGTCAGAATCAAGACAAGGAAGTGATCATGGTTTTTCTGGAAACATTTGGAAAGATAGCAGATGTACAAAGAAGCAAAACTTCTACAAGAAAAATAGGAAAGCTATATAGTAGGAAAGTAGAACAATAAGAAAGTAACATAATAGGGAAGTAGAATAATAGGAAAGGAACACTCTTAACATTTTTCTTCATTTGTGCTACTCTGCATCGAAGCATTCATGAGTTCTAACATCCATGTTCATGATCCTTGTGGTTTACTTTTGCAGGATGAGCTGTAGAAATCTGAAGATCAAAGAACCTGATGGAGTGCTTCTGGCATCAATTTGGTGATGTTACATGGTTGGGTGCTTACGACCACAGAATTTAGTGTTCTTGTTCTTGCCGTCTTTGTACATAAGAGTATTTGCCTTGGTGGAAACAGTTCATATGACATGCAACACATGTTGCAACATGATTTCATGTTATATGGTTGAGATGTATTGTGGTACCACTCTCACCATATCTGGATAAGAATAAATATAGTCTGGTACTTGGATAATGGGTTCGCCTGGCTGTTCTGTATTTAGTTGTTCTAGAATATGCTGCAAATGGATTTTTTTTGCAATTCTCGTTTGTTTAATTATTCTATAGACATTTGCCTCTAATTGTCACACCTAACCTATTTCACTTCTTGCTGCCTTTCAGTTGACTACCAGTACAATCAACACCTTCATTGAAGCTTCTAAGAGTTGGTTCTTGTGTTCGACTCCCCATAAACAAAAACATAGAAGGTATGTTGTGTCAAGACATTTTTTTGACTTTGTAAACAAGCTTTTTTGATCCTTGGCAACTTCATCGACCGATACTTTATGGGTGGCTCAATATTTCTTTATGAACCCCCATCAAATATCGACTTTGAAACATCAAATCACACATTCTTTTGGGGACAAGTGGTAAAATGTTTAGCATTGGTAGTACACTAGTACTATAATACTCATACTTTTGCTAACCAACTATCCACACTTCTGCTAACGTTGCTGAAAGTACTTTACATCAACATTACCTAGGCAACAAAATTTGAACTCCGCATGACTGGATGGCCAATACTCTCACAAATTTAGAACTTGTATATGCCTTCATTCAACAGAATTCAATTCATGGCCAGTCTATGACTAGAGATAGATATAAGTGTGGAACCCAAATATTTACTAGAAATCTGAGATTATCGTTTCTCAATTCCCTAGAAATTAATAAAACAGTGTATGATCAAACTATTTCATAACCAAAAAATACATAATTTAATGTACACAAGTACCATAAAAGGAAGCCTATGTCAAAAATAAAATGTATTACGTATATTTCATTTGCTTTGCATGAGTATGATGGCTTTCAATAGCTGTTCCCCATTCAGTGGTTTCGATAAATAATAATCCATTCCAGCCTGAATCATCGTGCTGGCATCCTCACCTGTTGAATGAGCAATTAATGCGATGATTGGTATGTGAACACCATAATATTCCTCTTCTTGTCGTATGTGTCTGGTTGCTTCACAGCCATCCATCACGGGCATCTGTTAAACCCAAGTACTGTACTTAGAGCGTCTCCAATAGCGCTCTCTATTTTAGAGAGCATCGTTTTTGTTATAGAGGGCATCTTTGATGAAAAATTAAAATAGAGAGTGATATTTTTTTAACAACTCCAATAGGTTTCTCTTCTCGTATGGAAAATGTATGTTGGTCATCTTTTTCATTCATTAATGACAGTTTGAGTGGCAAACTCACTCTCTACTAGATAGAGTTAGTTTGCCACTCCAAATGTATAGAGAAAAATTGGGTTCTCTATTTTAACCGGTCTAAATAAAGAGCCCATTGGAGATGGATTTTTAGGGATTGACTCTCTTAAATAGAGAATTGAGTGATTGAGTGAGAATAGAGAGTCTATTGGAGACACTCGTATATTCTCATCCCAAAAATCAAAAAAGATGCCAGTAAGATACTTCATAGAATTTTGATAGGTTCCTTTCAGCAATTATACAATAAAATGACAAATTATTGAGCAGTTCTTCTCATCTTCTCCATAAGCATATACTCTGTTGCAGAAATTCATACTGAGGGAGCTGGAAGCACCCTGTATCGAGTGGGTTTAGTCAATCATCGTCACTCGTCAGCAATGACAGATGTTTTCTTATGTATGTTTTGTTCAAACTTTGAGTAAGCATATGTTTCAGTAAACAGAAATATATTAGGAAAAAAAGAAAGGAATATGGACCTTTACCTCGCAATCCATCAAGATATAATCATAAGGTAGAATATGAGCAGCTCTGCGTTTCCGTTGATCACTTAGACCTTTGCAAACTAGTTGCAAAGCTTCTTCCCCATTTTCACAGAGGATAACAGTTGCACCAAGCTTATAAAGACGAGTCATAGTTACTTTGCGTAACACTAAGTTACCCTCTGCTACCAAGACTTTCTTCCCACTCAGAGGTTTTGATAGGAATCGGATTATATTTCGTTATAATAGGCGTAGGCATAAGGATTATGAGTTATTTGTCATTATGCTTTTCAGGGATTTAGTTGTCATTATGACTATTTATTTCTTTTAGAGTTCTTTTAGGATTTGTGGTTTCTTTATATATATAGGAGATATGTTATTTGTTTTGGTAGACTTTGATTATTGACTATTGATATTAAATCTTCTTCCTAAAATTCTCTCTCTATTTTCATCCCCTTTTTCTTTTCTCATCCCTAATTCTTCTCTAATACGATCTACATTAATTTGGTATTAGAGTTTAACTTCGATTCGTATAAATCACAAAAATCTCAACAACCCCGTTCATCGAAAAAAAAAAAAAACTCTTCGCGCGAAATCACTGTTCATCTGCTGTCCAGGTAAAAAAAAAAAAAAAAACTTTGGCAAATTCTTATTGTTCATCGTTCCTGTTCCAGAAAAAAAATAAAATAAAATAAAATTTATCGTGTGCACTGTTCATCGTTGTTACTGTTCATTGCGCCTGTTTTTGTCATTGACCTGTGCTACTTTGACTTCATCGTTGTCCATCTTCTTCCTCGTTCCATCGTGTTAAGAAAGAAGACATTGGTTTTAAAGCTCCAGAATTACAGGAATCTCCGCAGAAGTTCCCGAAAGTTATAGAATCACCCAGAAGTTCTAATAAATTGCAGAAGTATCATCCAGAAATTTCAGTATTGCAGAAACGTCCCAATAGGTTCAGAAAATTACAGAAATATCACCCCAGAAGTTCCAAAAATTGCAATAACACCCCAAAAAGTTCTACACTTTGTAGGATCATCCCCTAACTTGTCAAGCATCCTCTTGGAGTTGCATCTAACACCAGGTACGAGTTCTTTTCGTTGAGAGTTGGTGACTAGTATTTATATTTGTTGGTAAGTCAAACAAAAAAATCTAAATTTTCTTTGTTTGTTGTTCACACACACCACCTTCATAACTTAGCTTATCCAATTTCTTGTTAAATCCATTGTTGCTTGTCTCTCGTTTATTTGAGCCTCTTTACAATAACCTTGTTCTTATGTGTGACCATTTGCATTGATTTATAATTTTTATTACTTGGTTTAATTTTTAGTCCAGTCGGCCATTTACGTTAGCCTAAAATTTACATTACATTCACTATGACCCTCCGTGAGCTTTCAGAATGTCATACTGCATTAGAACAAAAATTTGAGACACTCACCATTGATATGATCGATACTAAACAATCAGTCGACTTGTTACGTGAGGAAGTTAAAGGAATGGGACAATAACTTTCTCAAGTTACTACTCAACTAGCCCAATTGACTAAGTTTATGGAAAAACGACCAATAGACTATGACCAAAGTGAGTCACAAGTTTCACCTAAGTCTAACCAAGTACCCAATGTTCGGCACTTGTCTCTCCCGATAGATCCTACTGACTCATGTCAAGGTATCCTACCCACTTCGCAAGTAGCTCAGGGGAGCCGAATACAACGTTCAGATAGGAAGACACCTCCTAATACCGCTTTTAGACGAAACGTAGGTCGTAGAAATGTTCAAGAGGATCCCGCTGAGGTAGTCATGTCTGACTATTCAGCAGAGGGTGATATGGATTGTTATCGTGAGCCCTTCCGCCCACGTGCCAGATACCATAGGTCTCCTCCTCCGCGTTACCATAATCCTCGACATAGGCATGTCCACGAAGAATCTAGGGATATCACACAAAGAGTCAAAGTGGATGATCCTAGCTTTGATGGTAGGTTAGATCCTGTTGCTTTCTTAGATTGGTTGGATGACATGTATGACTATTTTGATTGGTATGATATGTCCGACAACCATCGGGTTCGTTTTGCCAAAATAAAACTCGTTGGTTAGGGTAAGAGATATTGGCAAGGAGTCCAACGAGACCAAGAACGCCTAGAGGGACAACCCATTACTTAATGGGCTGAGATGAAACAAAGATTGTTGGTCATGCCTTTTGGATTGTCTAATGCACCTAGCACATTTATGAGGGTTATGACTTAGATACTGCGTCCTTTCCTAGGAAAATTTGTAGTTGTTTACTTTGATGACATCTTGATCTATAGTAAGTCTAAAGAAGAGCATTTGGATCATCTTGGACAGATTTTGCAGACATTACGTGTGGAAAAATTCTATGCGAACCTTAAGAAGTGCTCCTTTGTGTAAACTCAAGTGCTTTTCCTTGGATTTGTTATTTCTGCGCATGTTATTGCAGCTGACCTAGAGAAAATTCGTGCTTTTTTGAGGTTCGAAGTTTTCTTGGTTTGGCCACCTTCTATAGACGATTTATTAAAGGGTTTAGTTCCATTATTACTCCCATCACAGAGTGCATGAAAAAAAGGGAGTTTCAATGGACACGTGCTGCAACTAGAGCCTTTCAAGAAATTAAGCACATGATGACAGAGGCACCCGTTCTTCGACACCCAGATTTTTTTAAGGTGTTTGAGGTTGCTTGTGATGCATTTGGTGTAGGGATAGGTGGAGTTTTGAGTCAAGAGGGCCATCCTATTACTTACTTCAGCAAAAAACTCAATGAAGCTAAACAGCGATACTCTATATATGACAAAGAGTTCTACGTTGTGGTACAAGCTCTTCGCCATTGGAGGTATTATCTATTGCCATCTGAGTTTGTGTTATATTCTGATCATCAGGCATTAAAATACCTTCATTCCTAGAGAAAATTGAGTGTTAGGCACGTTAGGTGGGTTGAGTTCCTTCAGGAGTATACTTTTGTTCTTCACCACCGAGCGGGCATTGAAAACAAGCCTGCGGATGCTCTTAACCGTGTAGTTACTGTTTTACAGATTATGAGTGTCTATGTGATTGGCTTTGACAGGATTAGAAACAGATTATGAGTGTCTATGTGATTGGTTTTGACAGGATTAGAGATAAGTATGCCTCTTGTCCTGACTTTGGTATCATTTTTCAGGAGGTTCAGTCTGGTAACCGTCATGAGTACATTGACTTCCTTCTTAGAGATGGTTACTTGTTTAGAGGGTCGTGCTTATGTATTCCCCGTACTTCACTTAGGGATTTCCTGATTTGGGAATTACATGCGGGAGGTTTGGCAGACCACTTTTGTAGGGATAAGATATTTGCACTTGTTGAGGATACGTTTTATTGACCCACTTTGAGGTGTGACATTATTATGATAGTGTCACAGTGTCGCACTTGTTAGTTAGCAAAGGCTAGGAAACAAAACACAGGGTTGTACACACCATGGAGAGACCTTAGTATGGACTTTGTCTTAGGATTGCCTAAAACAACCCATAATCATGATTCCGTTCTAGTTATCGTGGATAGGTTTTCTAAGATGACCTATTTCATTCCTTGCACTAAGTCTACTGATGCCTCACATGTAGCAAAGTTATTTTTTAGAGAGGTCGTTCGACTACACGGGTTGCCTATTTCCCTTGTATCTGATAGGGATGTCAAGTTTGTGAGTTAGTTTTGGAAGACACTTTGGAAACTCTTTGGAACTAGTCTTAAGTTTTCCTCTGCCTTTCATCCCCAAATTGATGGTCAAACTAAGGTAGTCAATTGTAGTTTAGGAGATTTGCTTAGGTGTCTAGTGGGTGAGAAGATGGGAAATTGGGATTTGTTGTTGCCTACTGTTGAATTTGCCTATAATAACTCCGTCAACAGGTCGACTGGTCTATCTCTTTTTGAGATTGTTTATGGTCGTTCCCCTAGACAGCCCATTGATTTATTACTTTTACCTCCTGATTCCCGCCCCTCACACTCAGCCGAAGCTTTTGCCCAACATATTTATGACTTGCATGCCGATATAAGACAGAAAATTATATTAAGTAATGAGAATTATAAATTGGCTGCAGATGTTCATCGTAGGAATAAAGAATTTATTGTGGAAGACTATGTCATGGTTCGTGTGCGTCCTGAACGTTACCCTAAAATTCTTTCAAAAAGTTACATGCTCGAGCCACTGGCTCTTTTCGTATTCTTCGTAAGTTTGGACCTAATGCATATCACCTTGACTTACCTTCGAATATGAGTATTAGTCCTTATTTTCAATGTGGAGGACTTGTTTCCTTATCATGGTACTTTTGAGCCTCCTATGTTTCCAGCAGGTGTTCCTACAGGTGGACTTGTTTCGTCATCAACATCAACTACATTTCCTTTTCTTCCACCGTTTCCACCACAGCTGCATGACCAGATTGTAGTGATCAGATTATGGGCTCCTCGGATGGAGGATATCGTCGTTATCTTATTCGGTGGAGAGATCGTTCAGAGACTGATGATTCATAGATTACTGAGGAGGAGTTTCGTCGGCTTGACCCTGATCTTCTAGAGCATTATCATGATCGTATCTCTCCGGAGGCGAGTTCTTTTCAGCCGGGGGGAAATAATAGGAATCGGATTATATTTTGTTATAGTAGGCGTAGGCGTAAGGATTAGGAGTTATTTGTCATTATACTTTTCAGGGGTTTAGTTGTTATTATGACTATTTATTTCTTTTAGAGTTCTTTTAGGATTTGTGGTCTCCTTATATATATATATATAGGAGATATGTTATTTGTTTTGGTAGACTTTGATTATTGACTGTTGATATTGAATTTTCTTCCTAAAACTCTCTCTCTATTCTCATTCTCTTATTCTTTTCTCATCCCTTTCTTCTTCCCTTCTCATCCTTAATTCTTCTCTAATACGATCTACATCAGGTTTATTAGTGCTTGGGTCGCCAAGTTCTTTTATTTCCCCTTGATGTGTTGGGAGGTTTTGAGCCCGAGAATATCTTAATCTCGGCATCAGGTGAGTCTTACTTGCTGAAGTACTGGATTTTGTGGGAACTTTGCCAGAATGGTTTGTGTTTTCTCCTTCTATTTTTGGTGGCGTCGCGGGCGTTATTCCCCCAAACTCTGGTAGAAGATTGATCACTTGATACAAACGAGAACAATGAAATGGCTTAGATATGATCAGATCTGTAGGAGGTAGCTTGTCCTTATCAAGGCCCTGGGCATTAATGCTTTGAGCACTTGGTTTATCTATTCAAACAACCCTGTTACAAGTATTGCAGAGGTCCCTTCTAAATTCTGCCACAGCCCTACTGAGTTCTCGAAATGGTCCAGCTCTTGTATCTATTACTATTAATATGAAGTTTGGTGCACCCTTAGGTGAGTTCTCTTTTGGAGGGGTGGTATGTGATCTGCTCCATCTAGCATACTTAGGGGCACTTCCTTTGATCTAGTACTAGAGTTGCAGGTTGCTGGTCTGCTAAGGCTGTCACTTATCGTATCTTCCCGAAGAGCTGTAACGGGAAAGGATCATCTTTTGTTTGATCTTCTTGAGAGTGTGAGGAAGATGCTCATAGTTATTTACGGCAGACACTTCTATCCCTAGGTTCTCTATGAATTCCTTTAGAATCTTACACCTTTTGTCGCTCTGAATGAAGAGTACAACATGGGATCCTTCTAGCTTAGGACTATGAATACGAGTACTTGGCCCTGAATGTTGATATGAGTCACTGGATATGTAGCCACCATGAGACTCATTGTCATCTTCGCTTTCATTACCACTTGTGTCGGTCTCACATACAGTGAGGAAGGTGTTGAACTTAAAGCAAGTTCCCTTTTCTCCAACTTCCTTGTTCAGAATTCCTATCTCTCCACCCATTAAACGTATCTATCACAAAATAAACCACTGATTTAGATACTTCTCAATTCATTCTAAAATTCTGGAAATTAATAAACCGCAAGAGAAGTTTAGCAGCTTTTAAGCATTTACATACCAGAGATTGAACAATACCAAGCCCTAAACCAGTGCCTGCTTGTCCAGGAGCCGTCTCTTTGACCTGAACATAGTTTTCAAAAACGGATTTTTGCTTCTCTTTAGGAATTCCCTTTTCTTTGTCATTTACCTCAAATGCAAATTCCATGTGTTTGGGATCTTGTTGGAGTGTGTTGTTCATGGCTTCCAAGTCATTGTATGATTTATCGTTCTTAAAGCAGAAGCATGATATGCATCCTATTGAATTGTTTTGATTAGAAGCGAGTATCGAATTTTCAAACCTAGGTTTCCTTGCCCAAGCTCGAACAGAAACATGTCCCTCAGGGGTAAATTTGACAGCATTGCTCAGTAAGTTACATAATATCTGTTTCAGTTTTCCCCGATCGCCTTTAACATGAGAAAGTTTTGTAATAGAGCCATCATAGGGGTCCAACACCACATCTACACCCTTTTTCATACCAAGAGGATGATATAAATCAACTACATCTTCAAGTAGCAGTGCCAAGTCAAATACTTCTTCTTCAAGTAGCATCTTGCCAGCTTCAATCTTGCTTGTATCAAGAATAGAATTCAGTATACCTGCACAACTGATAATAGATTCAGTATTTTTTTTTTTTGATTGAAGAAAAAGGGGTGGAGGCAAAGGAGAGCGCCTAGAGACTACCTTGAGAAGCCCTTAGATGGGATTATGCGAGCGTGCCCGTTATTTCTCTCGGGAAAGAACCTAGTTAGATTAGTATAGCGGTTAACCACCGAGTTCTAATGTGGAGTCAAAGACTCGAACCTCCAACCTCATAATGAGAAATTCGGCCGATACTCCACTGAACACCCCACCCAATGGTTGATAATAGATTCAATTATGCATGAGTAAGCTTTCCAAAACATTTTCAAATTATGGCTGACAATTCTAGACACGGTCTTTGAACTTCTGGATTAACTTTGATAGTTTAGATGGTAAATGAGTGAATTCCTCAAACCCATCAAATAACTACATGTCAAGCCACAAATTTAGCTAATCGCAGTTTATACATGACGTAAATTTTACACAATACGAACTCAATTATACAAATGGGTCTAATATGGGTTGAGCAATTTTTTATGTAGACATGATGATGTACATAATTTAAGAGCACGAAACAACACCACTCAGTGACGGAGAAACAAAGATTGAAGTGGCAGAGAGTAAATTTACCCAGAAGATCCTTTGTGCAGGCTACCATTGGTGTTAAGTTTGTCTCCAACTCGGATCCGGGAGAGACTTGATTGTGACATATCGCTATCAAGCCAGTTACGCCGGCTAGAGAAGCACGCACATTATGGCTGGCACTTGCAAAGGCGAGACTCTTATTCATACTCTTTCTTTCTGTTTGTTGAGTTGCTTCCATTTGATTTATGAGTGCAACATATAAATACATCTCTCTTCTGGCTGCTCTAACAACGAAGAACACAAAAATGAAAATGGAGAGCACCATTGCACCAATCATCAGCTTAAGGAGCATGAACGCGAACTCGATGTTTTTGTTTATAACACTCTTTAGTCCCTTGTGAGCCATAGCCAACACATATACCTGAAATTTCGATGTAACTGGAATTATATAACTCCCATACCACAATGAATTACCACTAAAATCTTTTTTTGTTCCCGGGAAAAAAATCCCGTGGGCTAAGACTCAAAAAATTCCCCTATTAGGAAGCAACCGGTCAGAAACGAAATACAAGACATTCATAACCCATATAAATCTTGCGCAAATATATATTTTATGTAAAGAGCCAAATTTCGTTTGGGTGCATAAAAATGTTGAGAGAAAATTAGAATTTTTGTTCTTAAACATCCTGGAACATCCTAACATGTGAAAATTTTAATTTGCTATTACTGATTTGTTTTTATTTTCACTGAAAAAATGAAATGGTTGGGTGTAAACAAAATGTAATTTGGATCCTTGTATGAGTGCATGGTCAAGAATTCGCAATTTTAAACTTAGAAACTGTTTTTTTATTTTTGAAAATAGTTTTCGAGAGAAAAGATGTTAGACTTGTAAACTTTAATCAAATAAACATTTGGGTGTCATTGACTGCAACAATAGATACAGAGGGAGAGGAATCAATAAAAGCAAATAAAGAAGAATTATTAGTCATGTGATGGGTGGCTCCTGAGTCAAAAATCTAGGCAGTTCTAGATATACTTGAAGGACCTGAAGTGAAAAAATATACTGAGGGAGAAATTGATAGGGCACCTAGTTGGCGAAGTGAAATAAGCTTCTGTAATTGATCAAGTATAATAGTCATGCTGGGAGCTGATGGGAGTGACTCATCCACCGGTGATGCAGCTGCTGTTGTATGATAATCTTTAGGTTTAAATCGTTGATTTAATACCCCTTAGCATTTTTGTTTATAAATTTTGGACATTGTACCTTCCAGTGACTCTTACTAATAGTCTGAAGTGAATTAAAATTTTCACTTGTCATAATGTTAACCAAAGGATCAAAAAGCCCAAATCAAACAGCTCAAATCAAACAGCCAAAATAGGTGCAAAGTCCAAAGCCCAAATCAACAAAATAATGTCCAAATCAAATAGCTGAAAGCCCAATAGTCCAAAGTAGGTGCAAATTTAAAGTTCTGTTCTCAAACTCAAAACAAGAGCCAAAGAGAATACCAGCGAAGCCAAGAGCAGAAACTAAAATCAGAAGAAGCAGTCAATGCCAAACAATTCATAATTTGTCACAAATCAACTCAACAACTTTGTAAATCAAATACCCATAATAAATTGAGGTTTCTTACACAAAAATACAACAAAAATAACACTAAAAATCGAAATTCAGCATTGTTCACAGCGTAAACAGTAACTTCGGTACTGTTCATAACACATGAACAGTAATTTCGGCACTGTTGTTCACCGAATTAATAATATTTTTAGCACTGTTCACCGAGTGAACAGTATTTTTGGCACTATTCATAACCCTTAGAACCACAAAAAGTCAACAACTCACTAATCACTAGCTCTCAAATCACACAACCTAACACCAAGAACATTTAATCACACTACTTAGGCTTGATATGAAGTAAAGAAGTAGAAGAAAATAGCAAAAAAAAAATCGTCATAGATGATGTTAGTCCTAATCCAAAAATATATTATTTCTCTAACTAAATTACTGTGATGCTGCAATATATTTTGGATTGAAATCATGCTCTGATACCATGTAAACTTTGATCAAATAAATAAGAGCGAAATGAGAAAGAGAAAATATTATTATTGCTAAACAAGTCTATAATACTACTTTACCTATAATACATAATGTAGACCCTTATATAGTAGGGCAACAAAATAATGTAAAATTTATAAATTATTTATATTAGTTGTTTTTTTGTTTTTATTTTTTGAAAATCGAGAACAAAAAATAGACAAATTTAAAGAACAAGATAGAACTATTTTGTGTATTTTTAGAAACAATATTTCCAGAATTTAGAAAACATCACCTTCTTCCACCACCACCACCAACACCAGTACACTTCCACCAAAATCACCACACTCCCACCACCAGTACATCTACCACCATCAACACCACCACGTCCACCACCACACTCTTACCATCACATTTCCGTCATCACCACATTTATGTTTTCATTATTTTTTGGGTTACTGTCTAAATAAGTTTTATTGTTTTTAGTCTGTAAAACTGTTTTTGAAATTATAAAACAAAACAAGTTTTGCGATATAAAAAACACAAAAACACACTTTTCTAAAACTTTAAAAATAAATACTTTTCAAATATTATTTTTTGGGACGCAAACAAAAAATGGCCGAAATTTCCAAAGCATTGAATTGAAACATACCGATTGCACTCCAAGGATTTGGATTTCCATCGGTGAGCAATAAAACATAAACTTCATCTCCCAAATGTTCAAGATAGAAGCTCTTAAGGCACCATCATTGGGTTCACATGTAACATTACCAACCTGGCCTATTTGATCACCGTTTGGTTTCAGCAATTGAATTGAAACCGAATTACCAACAAGAACCATGTGGGTATTTGGGATCCCTTCACCGAGTACTTTCCCATCCATTGTTGCCAAATACAAGCTTCCTCCATTGCGACTTACACCGGAGAAGAAATCCAATACTGATTTCACTGGAAACCCTAGAGAGATAGCTCCTCTTCCATCCATACCCACCGTGTTAAGGAACAGAAGATCTTGACCGTTAATCCACCCAGTTCCTATTGAAGCATTCCCATTTGTGCTATTCAGAGCTTCTTGAAACCAGCTTGCCTTAACTGTAACCAATGGAAGAGACTCCACAGCTTCACCGTATAGCTTCCCGGTGTCCCGGTTTACCGGCTGAGTGTACCAAGTGTACTTTGTTGTGGCTTTTGGCGTAGTAAAAGACGTTGAGTTGAATTTGAATATACAGCAAAAGGTTGATCACCTTTTGTGTAGTACGAGAAGAAAAAACCATATAATCCAATGTGTGAAATCTGTAATAGGTGTGGGATTGTTGATAATGCTTGAAACAGTACAGGAGCCACCTGCTCAATAGTAGTAACCCAAAACAAATTAGAAAAATGTTTTTCAAAATCATTTTTATCTCTGTTTGAACTTAAAATATAAAATCTCAAGAATGCTCGGATATCTGATAAATTGGAATGTATTAAGAAGATGTCATGTGATAGAATTTGAAAAAAGGAGAGAGATGATCAATCACAACTACATTTGAAAAAAAAAAGTAACTAATTGGAAGTTACCGGTCAGACAACCATCGATAGAGATAAAATTGTCAAAAACAGTGGCTATAAAAAGCATGTAGTGGAGAAGATGAACGATACATTTAAACCCGACCCACGATCTAAGCATTTTAGAAGTAGTATTAGATTAGTTATAGGAAAAAACTACTATTACAATTAAAACTGTTAATCCAGTCTTTTTTGTATCCAAAGTTTCTTCGATTGAATTAATAAAAGAATCATCTTTTATTTGTTTCTTACAATTCATCCAAAAAAGTCATAAAACAAGATATTTGAACTTTTCACATACAATCACCTGAAAACTGTCAGTCAATTGGATTTTTTTCCGTCAATAAAAACATAATTTAGAGCAACAATCTCATCACTCTTTTAGATAAGCAAGAGAAAGAAATACTAACCTTGGTTTCAATACTAGAGAATGGAAGTTCGGGTTCGTCGATAGATGAACTAAAAACTCTCACTAAATTGGTTGCCGATGAATTCATCGGAATAAACACCGCAGCTATATTTTCAATTTCTGAGAGTAGGTTTTGGTGTGAAATCAATTTCACTTCATCTTCAACTCTTCTGACCTTGGTAATCCAAAATGGGATCACCAAACCGGGTAGCAGCAGTACTACAAATGGCTGCATAAGGCACTCATGTGTATCAGTTTCTTTCTTTCTTCTTAAATTTAGAGAGAGATGAAACCTTATGGAAACATTCCTCAATTATCAAAACTTACCAGAACAATGAAGAAACAAACAGGCCTCAGCACTATCAATGAGCTGAACTTCATGAGACCTGGTGGTTGTGATTGTGAACAATGGAAGGCTAGTACCTTCTTTGCTTCACCATGGGAAAATTAGGAGTACATGCTGAGATCCCTGGTTTAGGAGAATTAGAGCAATTTAGAGGTCATAAACTTTTTACAGTGGAAGATAATTTAAATAAGGAAACTATTAGACCGCAGTCAATTAATTCTTTTATGATGGGAAGAGCTACATAAAGCAAGTATATGAATGCATATATATTCTCTACAAACCAGCAAAATTGAGGGTTGATTAATTCTAATTTCTACATTACAAATCACCAAACATGCTTTACACCATCCTCCTAAGCAAAAAGATTATACAATATAGTTTATGAATTCTGAAAGGTCGTCTGATTATTTTTTTTTAGTACATCAAAAAGTATAAAACAAACAAATTAAAAAGAGTTCATAGGAAATGAAACATTGACCACGTCGGCCATTAAACAACTAGCAATTTGAGGTGGGAATCCTTGAGCTCAACAAAAAATTGCAGTTGGCTGACGCTAAGGTTTGTTAGTTTATCTGTACACTGATTTCCTTCTCTGAGATTGTGAATCAATTCTATTATCCGATTTCTACTCACTAAAGAAACATCCACGAATCTAGAAGTTGTGAATAATTATTTAATTAAAAACAAAGTATTACAAACACTTTAACAATAAAAACCAAATCTCCCTTTATGCATTAAAATCTCTAAAAAAAATTAATAAAAAGAAATGCTAGTAATTAAGGTCTTCTAGTTTACATTAAACAAACCCAATATTTTAGCCATTTTTTAATATCATGGAATTATTAGTAATTTATTTCTTCTCCATTATATTTTTAGGTCAATTTAAGAAAAATATTATTTAAATTTAATTTGAGAATCTAATCAATTACAATGACTCAACTAATATGACGACCACGTTAAATTAGGTCCATATAATATTGTTCTAAATTTATTAACCAAATCTAATATTGTTGTTATATCAATTGCGGTATAGATAAACTTTTTTAAATTTTTTAATAGAAGATATTGCCCATAATTAAAGTCTTTTTAGATTATATTCATTTAATAGAATTGTTAGTTAAATTCATTATTATCGTTAGGGTTGATAATTGAATCGAACTTAATTTTTTTTTTTTAAATTAAATTTAAAAAAATTATTCAAATTTAATTATTTTAAAATCAAAATAAATCGAATACGTGTAAAACGGTTCGATTATCGACTCTAATTACCGTTGATATTGATGGAAATCCCAACGACAAGATTTTGATTTGCAGAAAAAATGAAAAAAAACGACCGTTTTTCCAAAACGGACAAGCACGCGCAGCTCCGAGAGGAAAACCCCCAAATTCCCGCCAAAGCATACGCCGATTGTATAATTTCCCGGGAAATTCCCGCCTTCTTCCTCACTCCTATATTCATCAGAGCCCTCTTTTCAACTTCCATTCTTCATTCCTCTCTCTCTCTCTCAGAGACAACTAGGGTTTCTCTCTCATCATCGCTTCCACAGTCTCTTTTTATCTCTGTTGAAAAAACACCTTTTGTTCGATGGCCTCGTCACGTCGATCGAGCAATGGCCGATCACCGCTAGTGAATCAACAGCGTCAAATCACCTCTTTCTACTCCAAGACGACATTATCTTCTCCTTCCCCATTGCCATCCCCTGTTCTCTCCAAACAAGCTTCTAAACCTAACCCAAGCCCTAGCACTAGCTCCAGCCCCACTACTCCTTCACCTCTCCAAACCAAACGCAAGAAGCCCCTCTTAGTGATCAGCCCATCTCCACCATCACCGTCAAGTCCTGCTTCCGACACGGCCAAGAAATTGTATGGAAAAGAGGTCGTGGACAAAAGAATTAGGGTTTATTGGCCGTTGGATAAAACATGGTACGAAGGTTTTGTTAAATCTTTTGATAAAATTTCTGGGAAGCATCTGGTTCAGTATGATGATGCTGAGGAGGAGCTACTTGATCTCGGGGAGGAAAAAGTTGAGTGGGTTGGGGAACCGGTGAACAAGTTTCGACGATTGCGTCGCCTTTCCATGGTTGAAGACGATGTTGACAAAGAAGAGGAAAAGAGAAGTGTGGAGGATGTGGAAAGTGGTGGTGGTGATTCTGCGGACGAAGATTGGGAAAAGAATGCAGAAAAAGAGGAGGTTGAGGACGTCTCAGAGGATATGGATTTGGAGGATGAGGAAGAGGATAATGAAGTGGAAGGTGGGAAGAAAATGGCCGCGTCAAGAAAGCGAAAGGTGATTGGAGGAGCGAATTTAGGTTCTAGAAAGAAAAGCAAGAGTGTTGGAGATGTTAAAAAGAGTACGTCTAAGGTTTCTTTGCATATCAATGGAGGAAAACCGAGGGAGGCTACTAATAACATTGATTGTAAGTGATGGGGTTTGAGAATACTATTAATACTTATTTCAATGATTCTCATTTTAATACTTAAAAGAGGACATTTCAGATACGAGGAGATGTAGTTTATTCAAGATTGATTTGGTAGCAAACATTGGGGTTCTTTCTTCAGATGCTATTTGCAAATTGTTTCTATATGGCAAGTGGGGCTACATATTGGCTGAATTTTCTCGAGTTAGATTTAATGTTATTGGCCAAAATAAATTATTGTCAATGTTGGGATATGTAATGTGAAGAACTACGTAGACCATAAGAGCTGCTCTTTTTGTCATTGTGTTGCAACCATAAAATTAGTGAATACTAATGGAATAGCTATGTTTTATAAGATAGATTATTGCTCAAATATTGTGAGGTGTGTGAATTTCAATAGTGTGTTGTCTTTCTGTTTTTCACCATTTGATTTTTGAACTTGGAGAGCAAATGGTAAATATATTACAGCTATTAACCATTGTTATGTTTTCAGTTTATGTAAAAATGGAAGAAACAACTTTCATGGGATGTATTTTACTGGCATAATATGTGAGCTTGCTTTGTTGCAGGCGGAAAAGCATCTCTTGTTGTCAATAGTGTTTTAGTATGTGATGCAGCAGAGAGATTTGGCATCCGTGAATCTGAGAAATTTCGTTTCCTTAGAGAGTAAGTATTAATTGCATTTTTTGGGCCTCTTCCCTATGTATTGGACACTGTATAGGAAATGTGATAGACTGAGGTTCTATGTTTTTGATTGAAAGGGGGAAAGAATCTGGGGTTGTAATTAATTGTCATTTCCTTCGATTATGTTAGTGTAGTTGCTTTTACTTTCCTGATATGTGAATTTTGAAATCTTAATCATTATGCGTCGAATTGCTTCTTCTCCAAAGCAGAGACCGGAGGGATGCTAATAAAAAACGTCCAGAAGATGTCGGTTATGATCCAAAAACACTGTACATACCTCCTGATTTCTTAAAGAGATTAACCGGTGGCCAGGTAATTATTTTGTCATGTGTATTGGTACAGAGTACGTTGTATTTATCTGGATTGCAATTTTACTGGTGTGTGCTTTTGTTGATTGGTAGAGACAATGGTGGGAGTTTAAGGCGAAGCATATGGACAAGGTTCTATTTTTCAAGGTAATATCCATGTTATTGAATAACATGTGGATCAATGTTGTCACACATTCATGCAACCAAATGACAAATATTTCATCGTTGTTTACGCAGATGGGAAAGTTCTATGAGCTTTTTGAAATGGATGCGCATATAGGAGCAAAAGAACTTGATTTGCAATATATGAAGGTAGTTTGTACTGCATTGAGAAAACTGATTGGGATTGTGTTATGATTTAATGTCAAGAGGGACAAAAGCTTTACCAAATGCATTTGTCTTTTGAACTTAAAACATAGTATTGACTTTTATTGGTTGGTTGAAACCTGTTATTTTTGTTATTTTCCTTTTTTTCTGGAAGGTCATATTGGATGCTCCTTGTATTGTCAGGGAGAACAACCTCACTGTGGATTTCCAGAAAAGAACTTCTCGATGAATGTAGAGAAGTTGGCCCGAAAGGTTTGTCGCATAAATTTACTCTTATGTTAATTTGTTATGTGTTTCTTGGATCTTTTGCACTTTTGACACTTCATTTTAAAATATTTACCCGGGGTCTGTGACGGAGCAGGGTTATCGAGTTCTTATCGTGGAACAAACAGAAACACCTGAACAGCTTGAGCTTCGTCGCAAGGAGAATGGTTCTAAAGATAAGGTTGTCTTTTTGATGCTAAATAAGATGCCAGGATATTCAATAATACTTGTTTTTTTCCCAATTTATTTGTACTATGGTTTTTTATGTTGAAATTTTACCCTTGCTTTACAGGTTGTGAAACGTGAAATATGTGCGGTTGTCACCAGAGGAACCTTAACTGAGGGAGAAATGCTTTCAGCCAACCCTGATGCTTCTTACTTAATGGCAGTGACTGAGAACTGCCAAATTTCAGAAAACCAACAAGAGGAGCGAATCTTTGGTGTTTGTGTGGTTGACGTTGCCACAAGCAAAATTATTCTTGGACAGGTGATTTTGTAATTTATTTTTTAATACTTATTCACAAACCTTGCGTGCGGCCAATTGTTGGTGAAAGCTGTAATGGCATATATTATGGGGACATGAGGCTAATTTTACACGATATTAATGCAATATGGAGATAAAAGGCTACACTGCCATAATGATATTTCCCAGTTCCATACTGTGGGTGTGATTTACTTTTCAAGACTAAAGGTAAGTATGACATCCCGATCCATGGATACACACTGATGTGAGCACACTCAATAAAGCCCTAGCCCAAAACAAATTAGGATCAGGCAAATACTAACACACTTAATACAGCCCTAGTTCAAACTATTTGGGGATCAGTTGCATGGCCTTTTTGGCAGATTAAGACTATTTTGTGCCCAATAGCCAATGCAGGATGTCCCTTTGTGGAAGGAGTTAAGATCCTCACTGCATCCCTGTATATCTTCCTGCATGCATATGTAAATGTATGAATGCAGGTCAATTATTTCTTTCAACTATATTTTACTCCCCCCCCCCCCCTCTCAGCTCATTAATACACAAGCATGCACACATCCCTCCCCTGTTGCAACTTATCTATGCATTATGTACCTTGAAGGTCATATTATCGATTGGCATATTAAATCCTACTGGTCAATGTTGTTTATCTTGGAAATTGATCAATTGCACTGAACATCTTTTGTCTTCACAATTATGTATGACTAAGCGCACTTCTGTTTACCAGTTTGGGGACGATTCGGAGTGCAGTGCTTTGTGTTGTCTATTATCTGAACTACGGCCAGTGGAAATTATAAAACCTGCTAAACTGCTCAGCCTTGAAACAGATAGAATACTGATGAGACATACAAGAAGTCCTTTAGTCAATGAGTTGGTCCCACTCTTGGAATTTTGGGATGCTGAGAAAACTGTCAATGAAGTCAAGGGTGTTTACACGCGTCTTAATGACCAATCTGTTTCTTCATCTCTGAAAGACGCAAGTTCATTTGCTATTGACTCATCTGGCAAAGATGGCGGGGCGGAGTACCTACCAAAAATTCTTTGTGAGCTTGTGAATGCGGGCAAGAGTGGAAGCTATGCACTCTCAGCTCTTGGAGGCGTTCTTTTCTACCTGAAGCAGGCTTTTCTTAATGAAACTTTGCTTAGATTTGCAAAGTTTGAGTTACTTCCTTGCTCTGGTTTTAGTCATATTACTCGAAAGCCATATATGGTTCTCGATGCAGCTGCATTGGAGAACCTTGAGATCTTTGAGAACAGTAGAAATGGGGACTCTTCAGGGTAAATATGGCATTTTTTTATGTACATTTGAAGTTCATTGCATAGACCTAAATCTAAGGTCTTTGTTTGGTTGTGAAGGACCCTGTATGCTCAATTGAACCACTGCATGACAGCATTTGGGAAGAGGTTACTGAAAACCTGGCTTGCAAGACCATTATATCATCTGGGGTCAATTAGGGAACGCCAAGATGCTGTAGCAAGTCTGAAGGTATTTAGGACTCTTTGATTTTGATATACTGTATGGTACTTCCACCGAATTAAGCTTCCTTTTTTGAGCAAAAAAAAAAGAAAAGAATCAGCCTTCCTTTTGATTTTGATATACTTGAGGTATTTAGGACTATTTGGCTTGATGTTAGGGAGTTAATCTACCTTCTGTACTTGAATTCCGAAAAGAGTTGTCCAGACTTCCTGACATGGAGCGTTTGCTTGCGCGCATATTTGCTAGCAGGTACGGGAAGAAAGTTCCATCATATATCTGATGTCTGATGTGATAGGAATATTTCTGCCAAGTTGTTTTGTGTTTATTGCTTTGCATTGTATGCAGTGAGGCTAGTGGAAGGAATGCAAATAAAGTAGTTTTATACGAGGATGCAACAAAGAAACAGCTTCAGGAGTTCATATCAGCTCTACGTGGTTCTGAATTAATGATCCATGCATGCTCCTCTCTTGCTGTGATTTTGGAAAATGTCAACTCTACACTATTATACCATTTATTAACACCTGGTATGATTGGAGCTGATATATTTGTCATTTTGGTACAAATCTTGCTTAGCATCTTACATATAAACTATATTGCAGGTAAAGGTCTTCCCGATGTTCATTCAGTTTTAAAACCTTTCAAGGATGCCTTTGATTGGGTGGAAGCAAATAATTCCGGCCGAGTAATACCTAGAGAGGGAGTTGATATGGAGTATGACTCTGCCTGCAAACGAGTTAGGGAGGTTGAGTCCAATTTGACAGAGCACTTGAAGGAACAGCAAATACTACTTGGAGATGCATCGGTAAGAACTTGACACGACTTTATATAACAGATATCAACTTCCATGTTTGTTTATATATTTTATCAAAAAAATTCTACTAACTTCCTTTCTCTGATTATCCATTTTAGATCAATTATGTAACAGTTGGCAAAGATGCCTACCTTTTGGAAGTTCCAGAACACTTGTGCAGAAATATTCCGCGGAACTATGAGTTACGTTCATCAAAAAAGGTAAGTAACAAAAGGTGTGGCGTCTCAAGTAGATCTATTTCCTTCCATATATCTTAAGCAGGATACTATTAATGAAGAGTAGATAAATATTTTTGCTTTTTCTTATTGTAACTTGGAGCTCTCATACCAGCGTATGGTACCATAAATGTTATTGTGATTTTGTGTTAAGACCTTGAAAGATCAGTTACACACGTTCCAACTTTCTTCTTCTTTCACTGGGTGGATTTCTTGTCCACTACATAGTACCTTTTCCTTTATTAAAGGAAAATTTGTTTCATATTGAAAAAACAGTTACATGTCCAACTTCAGTATTTTTTTTTGCTTTTTTATTTAACAAGGATTAGACATTATGACTGCACCAAAATCAGTCCTCGGCCATTTGACAAGTATAGTATTTGGATCAGACTTAAATGTCAAATATATCTGCATTGAACTATTGATTGTGTTGGGACCAAAAAAAAAGAAAAAAAACTATTGGTTGTGTTAGTTTTCAGCCATGTTGGCCTGCTTATATGCACTTATTGGGTTGAACTATACGGCTGTAGGAAAGATGCTTTCATGACCTAATAAGCCATGAAATTGCACTAGACACTGATACCACATAACGTACAGTCACCATTTGCAATTCCCTTAATTTTGAACTCATGCAAAACTTTCCTACACGTTGGTGATGCATACACACATTAAGGTTAGGTTCTGTATTATTTGTTGCATTTTGTTAGAAGTTCATCATCTACTTTAGTAATGTGAATTGGGAGTGTTAGGAGGGGTTGACTAGGTACATACCTAACATTTGACATCATATGTACAAATTGCTTGTCTTGAGATTTCAATTCACAACCCTGTTGTTTACCTGAGTATGTGTACCCCTGGATCACACAATGATTCCTATTTGTAGAATTTTCTTATTCTTTTGCATCTAAAGGCAAAAAAAAAATGCTTATGACAAGCTGATCAATGCAGTCTGAAGACTTTCCCCTGGCAAAAGTAAGGGAAAGCTTCTTGAGGCCAAGAGTTGTCCTAGTTGATAAAGGACCTCCCTTATTGGGTTTAGGACCTCGGTTCAAACCTCATCCTCCCCTCCCCAAATATAAAATGAAATTATTAACTCTCTCTAAAAATATAGGGGACAGTTTCTCTGGAGATGTACTGTGACATTATTTATGGAATCCAAATACTTCAGTATTTTGGTCAAGATCTTATTTCTTTCCCTGGGGCCATGACTTCAAACATCCACTTGACAGATTTTACTTTTTCCATATCAGGTCTCATTTTCAATTTTCCCCTGGCTTGTGACATGCAGGGTTTCTTTCGTTACTGGACTCCGGTTATTAAGAAATTTATCGGGGAGCTCTTGCAAGCTGAATCTGAGAAGGAGACTATGTTGAAAAGCATTCTGCAGAGGTTGGTTGGACGTTTCTGCGAGCATCATAAGAAGTGGAGGCAATTGGTTTTGACAATTGCAGGTATCCATATATTCTCCTTTGAATGTGGAATGTGAACTTGGTTTTTGTCTCATGTTTTATCATGAGAACCTGGTAGCTCAACATCTTATTATATATTTTGACCAACCCTGGGCTGGGTTTTGATACTTGTGTGTGAGCATGCCCAAGTCTCAGGATGTTCCTTTTTATTTTTATTTTTTTGAAGGGTTTAGGGACTGGGAGGGTGCAGCCACGTGAGTCATGTGAGTGAAAGTAAATAGTTACGTGTCTCGTTACTGTTTAGAATACCTTTACATGAGATGTTATATTCAAAAGAACCATAAATTGAATTGCCTCGCTCTTTGAATCTTTCGAGTGCAAACATCAGCTGGATTTTCAAGGTGAGATGCAAGCTTAAGCGTGGATACGGATACGAGATACGGGTATTTTGTGATACCGATACAGTGATATAGCAAAACTCATTAAAATAGGATATGGATACAGTTAAAAAATATATATTTTGTATTGTACTATTGTATAACAATTTGATAATTATAATTTTTAGTGATTCTTTAACAATAATAAACAACATTAGTAATTTTTTACTTTAAAAAAGATACCTATCATCTCATTATGGTATATCTACCAAGTGAATGTGATTAATTAAAAAAATGTGGACCTAACATTTAATTAGTTTATTTGCTTAGGAAGTATTATTTGCCAAGAATAAGATTATAATGTAATCAATTCATTTATACTTTTTGGACATTTGATAGAGGATAATACTTGAAAAACACTCGTGCATTTTCCAAATCATGATTTTTTTTTTAATTTATTGCATTGCATGTGAATTCGAAAGGAGGGAGTAAATATTAGAACTGAAAATTATACAGACTTCTCCGCATATAGAAGCATTCGTTAGCTATCCACATATTTTATTTATTATTAGTTACGTTTAGTGTGTATCTGATACAGATACATCGACCTTAACAAAATATATGTGGTTCATAGATGCAAGAGCAAAATTACGAGGATGTCATGCACAACTGAAGTTGGCTGTTATATTTTGCAGAACTGGATGTTTTGATGAGCTTAGCAATTGCAAGTGACTACTATGAAGGACCAACATCCCGTCCAAAATTCTCGGACTTATCAAGTTTGGATGAAGTGCCATACCTTACTGCTAAAAGCTTAGGACATCCTGTTCTTAGAAGTGATACTCTAGGCAAGGGTGCATTTGTCCCCAATGATGTTACTATTGGTGGTTGTAGTTGTGCCAGCTTCATCCTGCTCACTGGTCCTAATATGGGGGGGAAGTCTACTCTTCTGCGCCAAGTTTGCTTGGCTGTTATTTTGGCCCAGGTCTTGTTCATGTGGCTTTGTAATTTCTTTGTCTTTTCTTCAACTCTTTCATAGCCTTCATGTGGAGTTCTATTCCAGGTAGGCGCAGATGTACCTGCAGAAAGCTTTGAGTTGTCTCCTGTTGACCGTATTTTTGTAAGAATGGGTGCAAAAGATCATATTATGGCAGGCCAAAGTACATTTTTAACCGAGCTTGTAGAAACTGCGTCTATGCTGGTAAGATTCTGTTGTAGTTTAATGCAAAGTAATTCTCCTGAAAAAATAATCCTTCCTTAATCGCTGAAGTATGCTCTTCTGAATCCCAAGGGAGACACGTAATGTATAAATAATTGTCAATAGATGGATTTGAGAAACCACTGAAAAACACCCATTCTGGGTTGCTAATTAATTGAATTGCTTTGGTCTTTTTTATTTATATTCATTTTGTGTTGAAGCATTCTTACATTAATTTGCAGTTTTTTCCTTGCTAAAATCAAACCAACTTATGCTAAGCGTGCAACTTTATTTCAATATTATATGAAAAGTTTATTATGCTATAATGATCTATGAGAATCTGTGCATGTAATTGATAGAGTATATTCATGTGGTGAATGTGCTTCTCATGGTTTGTGCAGTCTTCTGCTACACATAATTCTCTTGTGGCATTGGATGAACTTGGGCGGGGCACATCAACTTCAGATGGACAAGCCATAGCGTATGGGCCTGCCATATTGAATTTCTAAGCATGTTCCTTCTAGCTAATACATATTTATATTTAGTTATTGATTCTCTCGTTGAATTTGATATTGTTGGAATTTTCGTCGTACAATCTTCAGCTCTTCTCAATTTCTCTTTTCTGGATTTCCTTTGGCAGGGAATCAGTTCTTGAACATTTTGTCCAGAGGGTGCAGTGTCGAGGACTGTTCTCTACTCACTATCATCGATTGGCTGTAGACTATCAGAAAGATCCCAAGGTTTTGTTTTTGTTTCTTCCCTTGTCTTTTTTTTCCTCTGGGAACCAAGATGTAAACTACATTAACTAAAAACAACTTTAAATGACATTTTGGAGTTCAAACTAGTCTTCAATTCTGAGCAAGGATGCATGGGATAACCAAGTTTGGCATATGGATTGACAATTTTCTCTTCATCAAGTTTCTAAAGCATGTTATCATAATCATATTCCTTTTCCCGTTTGGTGTACAGGTCTCCCTGTGTCATATGGCATGCCAAGTTGGAAAAGGAATTGGAAGTGTTGAGGAAGTTACTTTTCTTTACCGGTTGACACTTGGTGCATGCCCTAAAAGCTATGGTGTCAATGTTGCAAGGCTAGCTGGTATCTTCTCTTTTTTCTTCTCATCAAAAGGAATAAGAGTTAATTAATATGCTGGTTGTATATTTATATATTATTTGTCCCTTTTTAGAAACCAATGCAAGACTGAAGAATATCAGTCAAGGGGCAAAACTAGGTTTGTTCACAGTGGCAGAGTTAGCAAGGGGGCAGTGGGGGTAGCAATTTTTTAGAACTCAAGGGTTTATCACTTTTTATCTAAAATTTTGATAAATTTATTTTCTTTTAGAATTTTCTCCCACTAAAATGTTTATAAATAAAAATTCAGGGGAAGTATCATATTTTTAAAAATAAGTGGGATTTTATTTTGTAAATTAAAAGGTAGATTTTAAACTTTTCCTACACGAATCAATCTCATGACTCTATCCAGTCTCTAATTTCCTCTTTTTCCTTTGTAGCAACACACCTAGCCAATGATTTAATCCTCCTTGTTTTTTTTTCTTGCCCTGCTTCCTCAGTTGATGACCACAACTGAAGACTTACGATTTGATCAAAGGCTTAAAAATTATCAGTTATCATCCACCATCTGTGTTAGTGGTTGTTTGGTTGTTCTCTTTAACTTGAATCTCTCAACTAATGATTTCTTTCTCACCCTCGCTTTAATCTCGTTTCCTCTTTTATTTTTTAAAATAAAGATAAATTGAGACTTCAAGTTTGAAACTCTTAAGTTTGGAATTGGATTTGATCTTTCAAACCCTATTATAATATAAGCACTACAAATTAGAATGTAACAAAGCAAAAAGTTTTTAGGGAGCACGCATGTAACATGCTATAAAAAAGGCCTGAATTTTTCTCCATTTGTAGTGGTAATGATTTGGAATTGGATTTCTCTGCATAAAATTTAGAATTTGCTTTTCCATGGATTAAATTGTTTTGATTGATTGCTTGAAATGCAATGTACATTCTATGATGAATTATTGATTCTATTTAATTGGATTTCTATATTTGGAATTTTGCCTATTATTGATTACATTTCGAATTAAAGTGTTTTGATTGATTAGACTTGAACAATTTGCTTGTGGTAAATTAAATTCTTCATATACCTAAGTTCAGTTTGATAAATATGTGATAGATTGAATATCTTTTTAAATAAATTCTATTAATTCTATTCTATTTATTTTGAATATTTATGCTCCTCATACGTTGTTTGTTATCAACTCAGTGATACATTTTTTAGTTTGAGTCTAAGCAAATTACTATGAATCAGTTATGGATAAATTTATTTAGAAAAATCAACGTTGAAACAAATAATGTTAGCATTATTTTATAAGTGATTACTACTAACTAATAGATTTCCCCCACTACGGAAAAATCCTTCCTCCACCCCTAATTGTCCAATGAAGTGAAGTTGCCTCTTGGATATGAAGCTACCTTTGATCAGAAACCTTGTGCCCTTTTAAATTGTGCTTCCATTTTGAGAAACTAAATATGAAAACATGGAGAATGCTTAAGAAACAATTGCATGAGTAGGGTTCAAGTCAAAGTTGTGACTCTTATAATAAAAAATAGCATCAGGTCATTCAAAAATTTTGTTTCCGTAAGGAATATGTGATGTACTTGTCAATCTGTCTGCCATGGGTTTGTGGGCATGTTCTTCAGCAATACTTGAAGGAACTGCACTTATTACTAGTGCCATTGCAGGACTTCCGGACACGGTACTTCAAAAAGCTGCTGCCAAGTCTCGAGAGTTTGAGGAAATGTATGGTAAAAATGAGAAGAACACTCTGAAAAAATTGCCTGAACAGAGTTGGGAAGACAAGATGATAATCCTCCAAAATTTGATCAATGTTATAGTTAGTATTAATTGCCATGAGACTGCCGCTGAGAGTGCAGTGGCTAGCTCTTTGATCAATCTGCAACGCAGAACAAGGATACTTCTGGAGCGGAATTAGGAACATTGAAATGTTTTGATGTTCATTACTAGTGTCTGTTCTTATTACTTGGCACCCATTGACAGTTATGATCGAGTATCTCATTCTTGGCCAATTGTGGTTCCACGGGTTTAACTGCCAAGACATCTCTGCTTGCGTTGCATTCATGCTTGTAACAGTTTAGAAGATGTTACAGCCGGCAAATAGATACGACAAGTGCTGTTCAAGAAAAGCTGATTGTGTTCAGAATCACCATTTTTGTATGTTAGCCACAAACATTAGTGTACATCCATATCTTTGTGACACCTCTAAGACACTATTCATCAAGCACTGCCCGGAGGATTATTTTGTTTGCGCATGGTTGTAATTTTTGAACAGCAAAATCTCAACCAACGGGAAAGGTTGTTGGTTGTGCCCAACTGTTGTACCTGTATACCCCTGTATTCTAAGCAGGTGTGGCTCCGCATTATGCGTTATACTGAGTGGTAACAGTTTTTTTTTTTAACAGTCTGAGGTGTTTAAATTAGTTTACATGCATCGATTAATTTCTATCTTAGTTCAATCAAGCCATTCATGTTAAAATTAGAATATTTATGAGAAATAAATTTTTAATAATTTAGTTCCAAAATTTTTTAAAAATTTGAATTCAGAAAGTCTGAATTTATAGTTCGCTTTTTTAGAATTGTGATAATAGTTTTTGAAGAGGTAAATACTGTTCTCATTGCTAGGAAAATTTCCTCTATATTTTCATTTCTTTCCGCTAGTTGTGGAATCTTTTAAACAGGGGGGGCATTGCTATAATGCCTCGTGTACAAATGGAAGCACAGGAAGAATCAAGGGTGCATTTCAACTCTATGCTGGTGCTGCTCTCATTTTCTCCATTGTCTTGTGTCATCTTTCAATGCTAGAAACCTAATAACATACAGAAAAATAGAAAAACTTTTAGTTGCAGTATAACTCAGCACCAGATGAACCAAAAAGGAGGACAATTTTTCCTCACTTAGATTTCAGTTAAAGGTTAGGGTTGCATACAAGTATTCATCTAACTTTTGAGTGATAAATTAGGAAACTAACCCCATGTCGACGCATAATACTGTTTTGAATTGCTGTGATTATACGTATCAATATGTACATAGGAACTAATATGCCACTAGCCCTTATAATAAGCAGCTGCAAGATTATATAAACATTCTCAAGTTAGATAATGTTGTTCCTGTTCAAAAAAAGAAAGAAAAGATAATGTTGTTCAAATACTAATAGCACTAAAATAAAAGGAAAAAAAGTTTCTTACAGTTAAAAGTGTAAATGGGTAATCCTCGGTTCCTCCAGTAAGAACATCGAGCAGATGTCTCAGTAGCATAACAACTGTGAACTGCCGATGTGTTTAACAAAACAAATTAGAATAAAATAAGTAAGTAGGGAGGGAGAGTATTTTGGCAATGAAAAAGCAACAGAAAATTTGACTTGGCATAACCTAGTCAAATTCGTTTTCGAAAAGTGTAATGAGCGCAATCACGGGTTTCATAATCCTACCAGTGAGAATTTATTAAGGTGATCTTTGAATGCTCTTTTATCCTAAAGTTTTTTTCAATAGCCAAAAAAAAAAAAAATTGACTAAGCATTAATAAAAGGATAAAATTCTCTCCCATTCCCATTTGGGGTATCTGACACAGGCCCAATCTTGCCACATCATCACATCTAATGACCAGGGGGCCAGCTAATGTAGCTTGGTTGGGGCTATGGAGATTCAAATAAAATGGCTTCTGGGGCAGATTCAAATTTCCAACGTCAATAACGTAGGAAAATGTCTTTCTTTAGGCCACTTTACACATGTCATCTGACAATCGAAATATAATAACAGTTCAGCACAAGACAAAAGGTCCAATTTTTTTATATTATATTTTTATTTTTCATTCAATAAAATACTAACACATAAAAAATATATTTTATTATTCCGTATTATTCTTTATAATCGATGACTACAAATAAATTAAGTTAAAATCTACGGCTGTTGATCAACTTCCTATATAGGGTACCCCACATATTTTTGTTGACATATATATCGGTTCATTATTTTGGTCCTCTAATAAATGAAAACGTTTTGATCTAAATAAAAATAAAAATAAAATTTGAGAATTATTTTTTCAAAATATTGATTAAAAAAATACCAAAACATGTGGACAGTGATTTTTCCATGGCTGACTGAATGCAACTTTCAAGTTCAGAAATCAATTTGTTCAACGTAAGAGAAAGGTCTTATGTAGACGACTTACAATGAGAGCCATTGATCTGCAGCGAGAGGCGCCTCTATTGGCAGCAAATGAGCATTCAGGGTATCCAGTCTCAAGCCTTTGTCCTTCAGCTATGCCCACTGATCCACTGTTTTCTAGCTCTCGCTCTCTTCTTGGAACTTCCAAGCTTCCTCTACATATACATATATATATATATATATATATATATATATATATATATATATCGATATGTGTTATGATCAGAACTATGATATCCTTTATCCTTAAAAATGAACAATTGAACAGACTAACCTTATGGTCACTATTGTATCAATCAACTGGGTCTTTACTGGAGGAGCTGTATATGTATACCCAGGTTCAAAATTCTGCAACAGCATGAATGTCATTTTCAAATTCAATAAGAGTTATAACAGATATGAACAAACCAACCTTCTAATCTAAATTTTAAAAATTTTCAGAAAAAACTTCGAAAAGATCATAATTAAATAGACTTGGTCAAAGGTATACCCAGTAGATAAGGATATAGAGAGTACAGCCCCCTCTGTTGACTATTTTAATCCAATAAATGCCAGTAGAAACAAAGAACAAATCGAATTCTATATATAAATAAATGATGATACAATGATTCTAAAGCTCTGTATGCTTTACCATTACCTTTACAAGATTAAACAGAGAAACACACAAACACACACAGAGAGGTGAAAACTAAGAAGAGAAATTAAATAGAAGGTGAAGATGAGAAGAGAAAGTACAAGACAGAACAAGGACGAAGAAAACATGAGTTTGAAATTTTGAATTTTAAAAACGACAGTCTATAATCCAATTCGAATCGCAACAACAAACAATACGTGCGAAGACGACGCCAGATAACCCTTAAAATTTCATTTGAAAACGACGCAGTACAAGAAAATACAAAACAGTAAAAGCTTCCCTAAAGAAAGATTCAAAAAATCGATACAGAGAACCCATGAATCATGTTCACTCCCCAAGTTCATATGAAAACAAACCTGTAGACAAATTTCACAAGTTGTGTTTCCCTTTTCATTACACCATCTTTGTATGCAATCTCTGTGTGCGAACTGAGGGGGAAATATGGAAAAGGAATCGATTCAGACACCCATCAAATTAACAAAAAAAATTATGTACCCAAATGGTACAGTCCATCGAACCAGATCAGAACAGAAAGATGGTGTTTGCAGCATATATACCTTGACAGTCCCAGAACAAGCACAAGGAGCTTCCAAGCTCTTGCAGCTTTCAAACTCTTCTTCGTGGCATATTCTACATAAAGACGTTGCCGAAGACGATTTCAAATCATCCACAAATAATACAACGTCTCCCATCTTTCTTTTCTTGTTTCTCTTCTCAAAAATCTCTTCGCTCTCTCCCTCTCTGCACTCTTGCCTTTATAGAATACAAAAGTAAAGTTAAAATTCCAAGGCTACCCTTCTTATTTTTCCAAATATCAAGTGTAATTCATAAATATATCCCCTGGCACTAAATAATCAAGACGCCTTTTAAGAATTACTGCACAAAATAAACCAAGCCTTTTGACCCGTGCGTGTAACTAAAGCACTGTTAAATGGTTCCAAATCTATCATTTTAGATGGGTCTTTTGGGGATACGATATTTTTTTTTTAGTTCACCATTCAAAGTGTTTTTTTTTTCCTCGCACTATTTATAGTGTTTAAATTAATTTATGTGTACTTTAATTAATTCTCTTATTGGTCAAATTAAAAATAAATCATCAACACTAGAATTAAAATATTCAATTTTTTTTTTAAACTTTTTTTGGGAGGGGGGAAAAGGGGGACTTGAACCCTTGACTTCAAGAAGACAAAATCTTTACAAGACAAGGAGTACCATTGAACCAAAGGCCCATTAGTAGAATTAAGATATTCATGAGTGATAAATCTCTTATGATTTGACCTCAAAAAATTGTTAAAATTCGAAATCAAAAAAATCTAAATTTTAAATTCGTTCCTATTACCATTTGAACTACTTTTTAAATTAAAATTTTTTATTGTATTTAGTACAATTTTTAGGATTCTCCCTCCTTTTTTGTCACACTTTGTTGAAGTAAATTAAATTGGTGACCTATTTGACTAATGAGTTCTGTAAGCACATTAAGCCATTCACAATTTGATGACAGAAATAAACTTTAGTCTTCTATTGAAATACTTATATATATATATATATATATCAACATAAGAAAATCCTTATAGTTTATAGTATTGAATTTGCTCAATCTTTGACTTACTCATATCAAGGTTCCTATTGAGTAGGTTGTAATCGAATGTAGTATAAGTTTTGGACACTTTCGTAACTTAAAAATAGAAAATATTATACAATTCAAATGAGATTTAAAAAATTATAATTTAAAAGTATATCATTTCTCTGATGAGTGGGTCCTATTAATTTTTTTAGTAAGACTCACTCATTCAACATTCATGCATGTAATAAATAATATGCATTTAAATTATAATTTTTAGATTTTATTTGAATTGCGTAAAATTTTTTTAAAAAAAATTGTGGCATTTTTTGTTCGTTTGTCTTGGATTTTAAAATTTCTCTCTTTCACACGTTTAAATCTGAGATGTGTGGGGCCATGGCCGATTAACGGTCAGCAATTAGATTACCAGAATTTTCAAAAAGTGGGTTCCACATTTTAAAAAATAAAAAAATAACACGCTTTCTAAAGGCCCACGTGGCATGCATTGCTAGTTGCCCAGATTCCGTGGGCCCGTTTAGGACGCCGCTCGATGATGTGTCTCTCTTTTTTTCAGTTTTCGTTGTCTATATTTTTTTTAAACATGCACTACTTTGGTTTTCGGACTATATTATGGGAGGGTGACATTTGTGCTTATCCTCTCCTCGTTCTTATCACCTCTCTCTTTCTCCCTATCAAATTCAATGATGACACAACTTAGAGATAAACTTTTCAAAAAATAATATCTAAACATAATTTTTTTTAAAAATTAAAAAAATATATTTTTATTTTGTAAAACTTATTTCATTATATATTATTGAAAATATTCTAAAAACTTTTTTTTCCTAAAAACTTCATATATTAAAAAGTATTTGAAACAAAAAAATAAAAATTACTAGTGAAATATATTTTTTTGACTCAACTAAAACATTTGAAATTATATGAACAAGATTAGATATGAGATTTTAATTTTTTTTTATTGATATAACTCAAAAGAAATATCTCTATTATAACATACGAAAAAAGATTTTTGACGATCAATAGTTGGCCTAATGGTCACTACAGTTCATCGTTGAACCATTAAGTCGTGGGTTCAAATTTTACTGTTTCCTCCTTTTAAATAATTTTATAAATATTAAAGTTTTTATATTGACCAGAAAAGATAGCTCAATTTTGTGTGGATACTTTGGGGCATATCACAAGCTCTATCATGTTGGACCTCTCGTTTAAGTTACACAAATGGCAACGGTTGTAAGCTCTAATAATTAATTGGTCCTACCTATTTTCTAACTCAGACAAGTCTACCGTACCAAAAGTTTTATTATAGTTTATTTTTACAAATTTTAAAGGTCATTTATAAATTTTTAGAATTATTTAAAACTTTTGAGGGTCATTTATAATTTTTGAGATTATTTGTGATTGATTTAAAAAAATTACTTATAAAAATTATAAATGACTCATAAAAATTATGATATGACCTCAAACGTCGTACAAATTTAAAAATATACGGTCCCGAAATTTCTTATTGGTACATTAGTGAGACTCCCCGTCTAAGTCACACACAACCACAAAGTGCCGACTTGTTTGGGCAGAGAGATCTTGACCGTCCACGTAGCGACAGAATGGAGACCACGTGTTCGCTGAATTACTTGTAGATTTAAATAATAGGGGTGCGATTTGGACAGGCTAATCCGAGTACAACTCGAAAAAATTAGGACTTGTACTAAAATTTTTAATAATTGGGTTAGATTTGGGTCAAAAAATTTCAGCCCGAATTCGATTTATGTAGGTCTCATGTTGAGGCATCGGGTTCAACCTAAATTAATACTATATATGTTAAACGGCAAAAAAAAAAAAAATTCAAAGAGGTTCATTCATCTTCAACTCTTTCGGCACATGGATGGGCAAATGGATTGGTTTTCTTGTGTGGGTTCTAGGAAAAGAAATGAAGCAAAGAATTTGATTTGGAGTTTTAGTGGAGTTTTAAACTCCCAGTTGGCTTGTTACTAACTTTTTTCTAATATTATAGCAAATTCTTAAAATATTCTGCTCTGCTCTATCAAAGACTATTGTAAAAAAAAATTATGTTTTGGCCTTTCAAAGACTATTTTAAAAAAAATTTACTTTGGTCTTTCAAAGACCAGTTTAAGAAAAAAAAATTTGTTTTGATCTTTCAAAGACTATTTTAAAAAAAAATTTGTTTTGGTCTTTCAAAGACCATTTTAAGAAAAAAAATCTGCTTTAGTCTTTCAAAGACCATTTTAAGAAAAAATTTCTGTTTTGGTCTTTTAAAGATTATTTTAAAAAAATTATACTTTGGTCTTTGAAAGACCAAATTAAGAAAAAAAAAATTATGTTTTGGCCTTCAAAGACCATTTTAAAAAAAATTTTACTTTGGTCTTTCAAAGACCATTGTAAAAAAAAATATTCTGTTTTGGTCTTTCAAAGAAATTCCATTTTAAAGCAGTATGAAGTTTCTAACTCCAAAAAAAATTTATTGAAATTAAGAGCCTTTGCCTTTTAAAAAATTGTCAGATTCTACCCATAGTCAAGTTAAGGAGTTTCTAACTCCTAAAGTTTTTTCGGGCACAAAAATACAAGAATTTTACACTTTTCGAAATACCCAAGTCCATTGGTTCTTTCGAGGGCAGTTTTTAACTCCCTCTTTGACCTCAAAATTTCATGTAGCTATTCGGCGCACATAAAAAAAAAAAAAATAATTTGCACTTACTGCCAAAAAAAAAAATCAGGTCTTGTTGTGGATCATTCACAAATATACAACTACCTGGTGGAAGTTTCCTTATGGCAGCAACTTAAAAAAAATGGTGTGAGAGCCTTGGGTTCATTCTAGCAAAATCAACAGAGAGTCTTAGACTCTTAAGTTGGTAAAATAATATTATATTACACCTGTTATAAACCTTTTCAAGCCATCTTAGACTCTTAATGGAGTTTTTTTTAACTCCTAAAAAAAATTTGGAGTTTCTAACTCCTAAAAAAAATTGGAGTTTCTAACTCCTAAAGAATTTTGGAGCTTTTGTCTCCATAAATGTTTGGAATCTTCTAAAAGTAAATGGAAATCACAACAAAGAGTTTCTAATTGCTCTAGGCCTAAGCTGTCCATTGTTTGCAAGAACAGTTTTAACTCTTTAAATTCAATTTGGAGTCTTTGACTCCTTTACAGAAGCAATAGTGCCGAGAGAGTTTTCAACTCTTTTTAAATATTTTGGAGTCTTTGGAGTTTTTAACTCCTTTTAAAACATTTACAATTTCAAGTGGCGGCCAAGCAGAGATATAAGTTTTGAGATTTTCCTTTATAGTCCTTTCCAAGACACAAATTAATATAAATGAGTTTTTTAACTCTCACCAAATCAAAGTAGTTTTTAACTCCTCCGATAGTGTGCAATAACTCAAAATTTTGTATTCTTTTGAAAGCACATGAAAATCAAAACAAGGAATCTTTGATCCATTTTGACAAATGTAACAATAATTTGACCGTTTAAATCCGTCACTATTTTTGAAGTTTTAAACTCCTACATATTAAATAGTGCAAAAATTAAATTAAAGAGTTTCTAACTGTTTACTAATTTTCAAGATTTGTAAAATTTAATGATTTTTATAAAAAAAGTCTTGGACTCTTAGTAGATTTTTGAGTTTCAAACTCACATAAAATCTACAATCTTATATGGAATTTAATTTCATCTTAACTCACAACCTCTGTGAATCCTAAAATTCACATAAGTTAAAGTTGTTTTAAATACGACTCAAATCGATTCCAAAAAATGATAGGTCATTCACTCATTTCAAACCAAATCAAATTCAACATCAAATTTTGGGTCATTCACCCATTTTAAACCAAATTAAATGAGTCATTCACTCATTTAAAATCCACTCAAATTCAAAAATCCTTATCATGAACTATGTCATGATTCCATTTGTTTTTGGATATATAGACAGCTTAGTAGCTACTCTTGGTGCAGTCACAATTCCCAATTGAATCCCAATTTCAAAAATTTCTTTCATAAACTACGTCGAACTTGATTCCACTTTTAGATACGTAGGCAGTCAAGCATCTATCATGGGCATAGTCGCATTCCTAAATAAATTTCTTTTCGAACTACGTCCGACTTGATTTCATTTTTTGGATACGTAGGCAGCTCAACAATTACCCTGGGCACAGTCAAAATTCCAAGTCACCTTCAATTAAATTCCTAAAATCCGAACTACGTTCAACT